AGGCCAGGGGTGGCCAAGAGTTTTTGCCCCTGGGCCTAATTGGAAGAAAACTTTTTTCACGGGCCGAACCAGAGGCTGCCCTAGGAAGATTTTGAGGTGGCGCGAGATCTCATTGTGGTGTCACCCTGTAGAAACTAAATTGTACATAGAGATTACAGATACATTTTTCACATTATCGTGCTTATCAACATTTTACGCTGTACTTAAGAGATGTGTAATGGAGCGTTAACTCAAAACGCACAGTGAGTTGTTGACCTTTTCTTTTTTTCAAGCATCAGATTTTTTATCGAGATATTCGTACTTGAGTAGCTAATATTGAAAGATTAAACGAGGGCCACATAAATTCATTAGACGAGCCGGATCTGGCCCGCGGGCCGTATGTTGGCTATGCCTGAACTAGGCCATCCAGCATATGGCGACCGGATAATCGAGGTTCCATCCGCTTCGGATCTAATTCTCAGAAATTTTCATAGATGGACTAATCCACCAATGTCAGACCATGTCCTCACGTCCTCCTCGGCCGCTCCGTGGATTAGTGATCAGGGTCGTCGATAGAGCAGAGTATCTGGAGAAAAATTCCCGTGCCATTAGAGGGTCTTAAGGGCTCGTAGTGGTCTCTACTCCCATAAAATAAGAATGTTATTTTTACTAATACAAGTAAACAAAATCTTCAAGGCTGCTTTTTTTATAACTAACCTCTCAGTGCAGAGCCGTAACTAGGCAGGTGCAACAGGTGCACCCGCACAGGGCCCACTTGGAAGGGGGCCCAAACTGCTGTTCACAAGAAATTATATTTTTAAATTTAAAATTTTTCCGCCTTTCTACAGCGTGGTTTGGCGATTACATTTCGTTTTACTTAGACCCTAGATGTAGTTTCCCTGCTCACCAGTGTTCCCAACTGTGGCGACTTTTAGAGAGACGTAGTGAGGTAGCGGAGACCTCAGACAAATCAGCCAAAAGTAGCGACTTTTGATATTTTTTAATTAATTTTTTTGAGAAATTTTAAATTTATGTTTATAGTTTTAAATTTACAGATTTTTCTCTACTTTATAGAACTTTCTGGCAACTACTAATAAACTTTATTACATTTCATGTTGTACGAGGGTTTTACCTATTTCTCGAACCGTGTCAGAGTGAATCCGTGCTATAGAAGTGCCGTATTATACGGGGGTTACCTGAATTGATCATATTCTTAAAACAAACCAAAAAGTATAGAAAAGGGATTTCTTAAAAAAAGTTAAAATAAATCTTATTAAAAATCTATTGTAATGTATTTGATTTATTATTTTCCCAAAACCAAATAAATTAAGGGGTCTAAATGCAAATTCTTGCACAGGGCACAGGAATGGCTAGTTACGGCTCTGTCTCAGTGCCTATATAACATCTCTTATATCCTTTACATTCCTTATTAAATATCTTATTTTTTCTTCGTTACATACTTAGATAATTTGACCATTTGCAAATCAGAAATCTTTTGATACTGGAATACCTATACCTGAACAGGCCTTCGAGAGTTTTTATGGGACCCCTTTTGCCTTTTGTTGGTTAAACAAATGAAGTACATAAACGTTTCTTTATTATTAAAAAAAATACACAGTATTATAGGAGTAGGAATCATTACCAGCTTCTAAGTATTTTTGAGGCCCGGGGAAAAATCTCCATTCCCCCTCTCGAGCGCTCAGTACCTGAGTATTTTCTGTTCGTTTTTCAAAGATATATTTTAATAAATTTGCTAGCTTGTATTATGTAATTTTTAGATGTTATTACTGCAGCTATGCAAGGAATGCAACTGCGAATACAGATATTTAAATACCCGATTATTGATATTTATCCAGTAATGTGAGGTATAATCAGGTATATATAAACAATGAGTTTGAGTAGAATGTAGGCCAATTCGAATCACGAATCGCATAATCAGGACAGGTGCCGCAACTCCCACTCTAAAATCAATGCGGCTTATACATTGTTTTAAACTTAAAGTAGTTGCACCATTCATATTTCAAAATATGACAGGCTGGAAAATTATATTCTAAAGAATCACTGCAATTTGTTTTCATCATAACAATTGGAACTTATCTTAAACTGATTGATGGGATTTGGCAACTGGACACATGGGAGATGTACTGTACCAAGAGGGGAGAAGGACTTTCTATTGGGAAATCTGCCAAGGGGATGCCACCTGGGTGGACTTTCTAAGGGAAATTGGTCGCCTATTTAAGTATTTCATGTGAATATCCCACGCAGCCATCTTGTTGGTGAGGCGCAAATCCACGACCAAATACCAATATTTAGTGTTTTTTTTTTACTGGTTTTATCCATTTTGCGGATCATCTTAAAACTTAATACTATAAAACAGTCATAAAACATTAAAAAGTGATCAAGAATAATATTATATTAAGAAATATAATAAATAATTACATGAATTTTAACAAGATCAAATCTGGTTTGGTTAATAATCATAATTTTCCGTAAATGTAAACATTTTAGAAACGCTTAACGTGGGAAACATTCGTAAAATCCAGTAAAATAACTAGACAACGATCTTATCTATAACTGTAAATTTTTCACTTTATTCTCAAGCAATTATTTAAATAAAAAGCTGGCAACGTTGTTGTTGGACTTTCCGGCATTCTTTAGTTGCTTTCATCCCTAATCATTATAACCATTATCTTTGTCTTCAGATTGGTTCCGAAGATATTAATGGGGGGGGCATATTTCCCGAACCGATAATCCGATTTTCCTAAAAATTACTAGAAACATTTCTCCCTAATGCACAAACCATCCTGCAAAATTTCAGAAATTTTTGACTAAAGATTCAGTAGGTATTAAGCTTCAAAGTGTGTGTAGGGAAGAAAAAAATCGCGTCCCGCGTAACAGAAACACACGTACACATCCAAAAATATATAAAAAAAAAAAAAACATTTTTATTCACATTTCTCGACCTTTCAAGGTCTCGAGTCCAAAAATTTAAAAATCTTGGGGGATGGGGGTAATTTTTTGACCGATCGCCGTGCTTACCCTCTGTTAAATATAACAACTGGAATGTGAAAACATGAAAGTACTCCGAAATTTTCGAATTAAGACGGCTTTAATTTTAAATATTCAATTTAAACGAACAAATTTTAATTATAAAGCACAAAAATTTAATTTATACATTTATAATTATTCTAATTGATCTCAATTAACAATTTGGCAGCCAATAATATATCAAATCAGTAAAATTTTATATATAAAAAAAGAAAAAATGATGATGCTGATGATAATTTTCATACTTTCAAATCACGCGAAAGTTGTATAAACACTCGAATAAATAAATTCAACCTTGAAAGTTTTCCATGTCCGTGTCACGTTTATTATTTTATAATGTTTTCGAGATTCTTTCCGTCTTAGGAACGAGATGTAAGGAACCTCACCCTGAGTATAGGATGCCACAGCTGTAGATCCACATCCTCGAGTACATGTGATGAGTCCTTGATCCATTTCACAGGTGAAGATTACGGAGAATCTATCACGACCTGACCTGTTTTTTTTTCTGCATGTTACGATCAAATAATAGATGGGTGCTTTTTTTATTCGTTCAAATTTGATGATAAATTCGTTGTTTAATTTAAAAATTTTTCATATTTTTACAAATAAATTTTAAAAATTCTGTTTGAAAATGCTTATGAAGTGAATCAATAGGCTGACATTTATAAATGTCACCCTATTGATCCAATTCATAAGCATCTTCATCCTATCAATCCATTATTGATCTTCATCTTTATTCTATTAATTCACTAGCGATCTTCATCTTCATCCTATCGATCCACTATCGATTTTCATCTTCATTTTATTAATCTAATGTCAGGATCTTCATTCTATTGATCCACTTCATAATTATTTTATAAAATAATTTTGATATATAATATGATCCATTTCTTAAAATAATTTTGTAAAATTAAAATTTTATATTACAAAATTTTTATTCATTAAAATTTTAAAGTTTTTTTTCCTTACAAATTAATTTAAAAATCTTTTAAAATAATAATTTAATAATATTTTAAGAATTTCATTTGTACTTTAAAGTTGTAATTTTTTATTTTAAAAAGTCTGTTTAAAATTGATTATTAAATAATTTAATTAAAAAGTATTTTAAAGTAATTATTAATAATTTTTACTTTTTAAAATTTATTTTAAGCTGATTAATTTAATGATTCTCTACATGATTTTTTTTCTCATTTCTCCTTCACAAGTTTTTACATTTCCTAGTAAAAAATACGTGAATAATATTTAAAAAATGTTTTTTAAAGAATTATTTATATATTTAACCATCTCATCATCATTATAATTTCTGTTTCATAATTTTTCAGTTATAAATATATTTATTAAATAATATTCATCAACAAAAATGGTATTTTAAATTTGATAAAATAAGAATTTATTATATAAAATTTCATACATTTCCATTATAAACTTGGCCATTTCTCAAAATTTTATGATATAAAACTAAATATTTTAAATAATATTTATTATCTAATAAATATATAAATACTGGCATGACTGGAAGAGTGAAACAGGTTTCATGATGATGATGCTGATGATGATGATCAAATATATTTTTAAAAACTCTTCATAAAATCATTCAATTAAAAGGTATTAATGAAAAAAGTTATATTTAATTATCATTTTTTAATATTTTTAACTTATTATTTTATGAAGAGAATGAATGTAAACATGAAAAGGAATATAAATTAAGAGGTAAATTCAATTTAACTTAACAAAAGTTTAATGTTATAACACACAGGTTAATCTATTCATAAAATCAAGGACAAGTATCAACAAATAATCCTTTTAATGAATTTTCAGAGCCTCAAAGCTGTTTTTTAAATTAAAAAACTCTATTTTGATGTTTTCTATTCTTCAAAAAAAATTAGTATAATAGATAACACGTTTCATCCCCTATAATCACATATAGAAAAACCACATATCATCACCATATTTATTCATTCATACTTGATTCTAAACTCCTCCTACTCCTGGTCTAAATCTGGATCAAGTGACGTCAGAAGGGAGAACGTGATTTTTTTGGAAGGATGTTCATCGATGCTACTTACTAGAAGGATATTTGCTTTCGTGTAACACGTTACTGTAGCTTCACAATTTGAGATTTTGTTTCTTTACTTCTTCCCAATTAACTTAATCTAGTTTGAAGGACGGGGACAACTTTTCTGACAGGATTCTTTGTATATAAAGGTAGGAAATTATTCAGTTTATATCTTCCATAAAAAGAAATTCTAGTTTTGTTTGAGATAAGTTTCATCCATTTTAATCATATTTCTTCCCTTGTAGAATCATATTTTAGTAATAATCTTGCCATTGTTTTTATATGTAAAAATGAGGTTTCTTTATTTAAATTTTCTTAATTGTTTGTTAAGATTTATAAAATAATTATGCAAAATTTTTTTTAATTTTAAGTTTATAAGGCTAAAGAATCAGCTGATGGTGAATCAGGATGGTTTCTGATTAAAAAAAACACCATGGACTTGTATATTTGGGTCCGTTTCTTGTTACGATCGAACGATTAATGGAGTCGTACTTTCCTGTTTTGAGTGATTATTTTACTAAATTATTCAAGATTTTTACATGTGTAGAACGTGTAGAAAAATATAGGTTTAGTTCTTTTATACATATGAAACACCAATAAATAATAATATCCAAAAAATAAAACAGAAATTCGAGCATATCACTCACCTTTTCTCCTCCAATTACATTCTTTACGTCCTTGTATCAACAAAGATATTTGCACATCACCTGTCATACGCTACGATAACAACCTTGAAACCGTGAAATTTATGGCCAAATCTTCTTAGATACCATAAAGATACGGTGAATAATTTTATATTTATTCAATTTTAGATCATTTTCGATGTTCCTCCTGAGTGATTATGGCAAAGGAAAGTGATTACATTCACCAACTCTCCAAAATAGCAGCAGCAAGCGAGCAAGTGCTTCAAGAAGATTATCGCGCGTTTAGTCTAGACAAATTGGAATATTTTGTATAAAAATAGTGCTGGATTAAAATATTTATATAATTATTTTTAACACTGCATATTCTTCTTTCAGGAAGTAAAGAAACAGGTTAGAGAGAATCGACTGTCAAATGCAACCTTGATGACATTGCGTGATCAGGTAAGCATCCTCATAATCGTTAACAAGCTCCTGTTTTAAAGAAACCATATCGTTTGTTTTACTACCTTTGATATATACTATCTTCTTCTGACCTTTTGAACTTTATTATACGAAGATTTTTGTATTAAATTAAATTGTATGAGGAGTAGATGGCGAATATATTTAAGGTATTTGGCTTCATAAACAGCTGCTAATTTTAATATTATTTTTTATTAACTTTTTAAAAAAAATATTTAATTCGTTCATTAAATAAAAATGGAATACAATATTTACAAAATTTAATTTAATTTTTCTGTTATTTGTTTTTACTTAAAAAATTAAAATATTTTATTTAAATACTTTTAATAATTGTTATTATTATTAAAATCGAAAATGAATATTTAAATTATTAATAATATATAAATACTGTAATTACAATTAATAAATTTATTTTGTAATTGTAATATTTTATTTAGTTCATCACCATTAATTTTTTTTAGACAAATTTCTTGAATTTTTCATACAAATTCATAACATTTTTGCTTGCTTTTATAATTATTTAAGTTTGTTTTTTGATTACATTAGTTATCATTTATATTCCCCGGATAAAGGAAAAAACCTTTTATCCGGCGATACAAATTACTAATTATATATAATTTATTATTTGAAAGTAATTTAGTTTGCTGAACAGTTTTACCTTTAGAAAAACACATATGTAAGTGTTTCATACATCAAATACGATGCAAACCTGTACTTTACACCCAAAATGTTAGAAATCTCAAATTAACGTGCTAAATATTTCTAAATTATAAAATATTTATTAATTTTTAAAATATCGATCATATATTGCATTAAAGTATTTCAAGTATCTCAATATTACGAATGGTGACAAGGGTGCCAATAGAAAGGGCAAGAGAAGTAATACTCCTCCTAAGATTAACATTATACATTTTTTCCTTCTTTGCCTTTTTTAAAAAGCAATTTTATAAAGTACTTTTTAAGAATAAATTTTATTTAAAAAGTCGTTACACTGAAATAACTGCTATCCACGCGATACGTGAAGGTCCGTTAGTTCTCCTTTAAATTAATCTTTATACTTTTTGAAAGACCACGATTTTTTGAGGGTAGTTGGATGTCTCCATGAAAATGAAGCGATAGAAAATTCATAAGTAGAAACAAACCCGTTTAAGGAATAAGGCTTTAGTGAATCGGTTGGTTAATTATTGTAAATCGTACCCGTTTTGTGTCCTGGCGATGCCCTTGATTCTTGGCCCGCAAAAATTATTGCCTTTTCTTTCTCTTATAAATTTTATTTATATGAAAATTAATAGCATATGTCAAATAATTTAAATTAAATCAGCTTTCATCATTCGAACTTTAGTATTTGAACTGCAGAGATCGCGTTCGCTTTATCATAATAATGCACACGATTAAATTAATTTGACGCCATCTTATGCTTCTTCCCCATTAATATATACTGTATAAATAACTTATGGTACTTTATAACTTCAAAATTTCAATAAACTATCCACGAAATTGATAAAGACTCGAATATAGTTAACTGTAGAATTCAGCTTTGAAAAAATATGCAAAGTTTTTCTAGAAATAAAAAGAAATAAATCTTTATTAGTGTATGTATTACTTACTTACTTATTTGTTTTCTATGTTTATAGTCTAATTTGATCTATTTACTGTTTGGTGTTCTTCAGATCCAACTACAGATAATTGTCGTCTTTCTGGATTACAGTGAATCACGTTATATTTTCTTATGTTTAATGCCTGCTAATTTTAATAATTAATCTACTGGTCTGGAATCAAGACCATCGAAAGCTTGTATCAAGCATGGGATTAGACCGGCTCCTTTCCGTCTGGAGCTTTTGCTTTTGCAGAAGCCAAGGAAGAAAATTATTAGCGGGGCCCCTAAAACATTTGCAAAAATTGATTTTTTTTTTTAAATCAAATTTTCTTAAGCGCGGGACCGCGGTCTGAGGCCCAAAACACCGACGTCCGAGCCGACCTTGATGATAATATATTTAAATTAATAGACGAACAACAAGAATGAAAAGGTTAGGTTAATATATAAAAAACGCATTCCTTTAATTCATTACCTGTCAAATGATTTTGCCTATGAATGAATAGTAACTTACAATGTGCTTAAATTTGCTTTATTGAAGTCAGAAATGACCTAATTTTTAACAAACAGATAGATTTAATTTTTTCTTAGAAAAATTCCCAAAAATATAAAGAATACATGTACAGTATATATAATTAATATATACATAAAGTAGAAAAATAAGGCAAACCAGGATTTCAAATCTCTAATATTTATACTGTATTTAAATATTGCTTTGTATTCAAATAATCTTATAACAATTTCATTAGTTAATGTACTTAATTGCCAAAAAAATCCAGATTAACAGATATGATTTTAATTAAATTCTATTAATAATTTGAAAATAAGATTTTTAGAGTTTAGACAATTATTTCAGGCAGTTTTAAGGCTATAAATTAATTATTTTATTGCCTTTAATTTAAGTCAAATGATCAAACACTAATTAATATTTGTCCAGCTTAAATAGCATAAAATTAATTAATTAAAGCCATAATAATAGCAAAATACAGTGCAAAATTAATTCAGAGATATTTATTTTACTTTTGAAATTCTTTATTAATTTGTTTTATATAGTTGCTGACAATTATTTCCTCATGCTTAAATTGAATACCAGAAATTTTTGCACCCAACAACAAATTTATATGTCAGATATGAATAGAAGTGACAACTTATGGAAACTTTTAACAACTTTTGATAAGTTATGGGTCATAAATTCTAAAGATAAAAAGAAAATAAACTAAATAAAAGCATTAACAAAGTTGAAAAACCCGTATTTAAAGTATATCGACTTACTTTTATTCATGAAAACATGCAACAAAAANCCATTTTAGAACGTTGAACAACGTAAAGAATTTGTATTACAATTAGATATGTAAGCTAATTTGCATATTTCAATGCTTGAAACTAAACAATATTCTGTTTAAATCATAAAATGAGTGCCTCTCCGGATAAATATGTAACAGTTGTTTTGTATAAGATTTTCAAAAATATTATTTTCAGTGACAAAATATTAATGTTTGATTAAAATTCTTATTTTGCAGTGTAGAAACATGTAAATCCATATTATTCTTAACAAAAATTTTGTCACTTAATGCAGCAAATTTGTGTTTCACTTTAATTTTTTCGTGTCCGTATAAATTTGAAACACACCTTATACAAGTTCAGACACGTGCACTGCGTATCTCGCCGACCACGCGACTGCGCCGCGCGGTTACCTATCTCGTATACGTACGCGCCTTGGCCCTCGCTACCCGCTGCCACCAAAAATATAACGTTTACCTAGATGATATATTTTAATTTATATGTTTAACGGAATAATATACAACCTATATCCACCCTGAAGGTCCATTCTAAATATTGGTGAAAGAATTTTTGAAATTGGATGAGTAGTTTTGGAGATTACCTCCTACATCCAAACTTACAAACTTTACCTCTATAATATTAGTATAGATTGATGCAATGTCATTTTTCAAAATTTTGTTCAAACCACGAGGCTATTTTATTATGCTTAAACATGAATCTGTAGAATAGCATTCTAACATGCAACAAAAATCCTACAATGCCTCATGAGTAAAAAGCCATTACTCCACTTAGAGCCTTATGTAGAAGAAAGAGGAATAATCTGCTAATGATTTTATGCCTATTTGTAGAATGCAATATAATCTATGATTTAAAATTTACTATATGATAAAAGATTTACTATTCTTTACGTTCATTGTATACGTAAAGAATAGCAAAGACCATAATCGTTATATCGAGTGGACACTGTATCATTATATATACATTTTGAGCCACGCGTTGCTGTGGCTCAAAATGTATCTATAAATGTATAACACTCCCCGCGGGAGGGAATTTCGAAAAATCCCTTCTTACTGTACATTCTCTTGGCGTACCCTATTAAAACGCAATCAAAAACACAAAAACCCGCATCTAAAATTTTATAATAGAAGCCAAGCTTTTCAAGGTAAGCCTTAATCCTGTCCCTCTCCCCCNAACTAGCTGCACCCGAGTCTAGATAAGTTGCTTTGGCTCAAAATATATCTATTATAAATTTCGAAAAATTCCTTCTTAGTGTACATTCTCTTGGCGTACCCTATTAAAACGCAAAAAAAAAAAAAAAAAAAAAAACGCATCTAAAATAGTATAATAGAAGCCGAGTTGTTCACGGTAAGCCTTAATTTTGTCCCTCTCCTTGTGGGGGGGAATTTCGACATCTATATAATAAGGTGTGTTTCAAATTTATACGGACACGAAAAAATTAAAGTGAAACACAAATTTGCTGCATTAAGTGACAAATGTTTTATTAAAAATAACACGGATTTACATGTTTCCATATTGCAAAATAAGAATTTTAATCAAACATTAACATTTTGTCACTGAAAATAATGTTTATAAAACTCTTATACAAAAAAACTTACATATTTATCCGGACAGGTTTCAAATTGCAAAGTTTTCTTACAATTTAATGGCCAATGTAATCACCATTTAACTTAATTACATTAAATACTCGATTAGGCATTGTTTCAATTAGATTCTGAAGGAATTCAATCTTAAGTTTATCCCAAGCATCTGAAATTGCTGCCTTCAAATCATGAATTGTGGAAAACTGCTTTCCATTGGCATAAACTGTACGAACCATCATCCCCCAAAGATTTTCCATCGGATTCAGGTCAGGGCTTCTAGCAGGCCATGTCATCAGATTAATATTTTTACGTTTAAACCACATTTTTGTTGATTTAGAGGCATGCACAGGGGCATTGTCTTGTTGAAAGATCCAATTTGGTCCAGCTTCCAATAAATGATCTTCAAGCATGCCTTGATACTTCTTTGAATTCATTCTTTGAGTTATAAATGCTAAATCTGTGGTTCCGTTGAATCCAAACGCACCCCACACCATTATTGATCCACCACCCATTTGGCGTTTCGAAAATATTTGTTTTTCGGTTCTTAAATCGTGCCAATAATACTTCCAACCGTCTGGACCATCTAAGTTGAATTTTTTTTCATCACTGAACAAAACTTCAATCCATTCTTCGGACCATGTCATGTGTTTTTGTGCCCAATCAAGTCTGTCACTTTTGTGCTTTAATGAAAGTGGTGGCATTACAGCTTTTTTTCTGAATTTTAACATTGGAGATTTATTTAAAACTCTCCACACTGTTGTGCTGCTACAAGGCAAGTCTAATTCTTGTTTTATTTTTCTTACTGATGTTTGTTTTGTGGAGCAAACCTTGATGATTTGTCTACAATCTCGAGGAGTAAGCTTGGGTTTTGGACCTGTCTTGAATTTTGGTACATCCTTGCCACGTCTTTTTGATAAATAATCACCAACAGTTGATTTTGGACGATTTATATATGCTGCAATTTCTCTTATTGACTTGCCTTGTGATTTATAGGCATCAATCTGCCCTTTTTCATAATCAGATAAATTCTTTGTTCTACCCATTTTAGAACGTTGAACAACGTAAAGAATTTGTATTACAATTAGATATGTAAGCTAATTTGCATATTTCAATGCTTGAAACTAAACAATATTCTGTTTAAATCATAAAATGAGTGCCTCTCCGGATAAATATGTAACAGTTGTTTTGTATAAGATTTTCAAAAATATTATTTTCAGTGACAAAATATTAATGTTTGATTAAAATTCTTATTTTGCAGTGTAGAAACATGTAAATCCATATTATTCTTAACAAAAATTTTGTCACTTAATGCAGCAAATTTGTGTTTCACTTTAATTTTTTCGTGTCCGTATAAATTTGAAACACACCTTATACAAGTTCAGACACGTGCACTGCGTATCTCGCCGACCACGCGACTGCGCCGCGCGGTTACCTATCTCGTATACGTACGCGCCTTGGCCCTCGCTACCCGCTGCCACCAAAAATATAACGTTTACCTAGATGATATATTTTAATTTATATGTTTAACGGAATAATATACAACCTATATCCACCCTGAAGGTCCATTCTAAATATTGGTGAAAGAATTTTTGAAATTGGATGAGTAGTTTTGGAGATTACCTCCTACATCCAAACTTACAAACTTTACCTCTATAATATTAGTATAGATTGATGCAATGTCATTTTTCAAAATTTTGTTCAAACCACGAGGCTATTTTATTATGCTTAAACATGAATCTGTAGAATAGCATTCTAACATGCCACAAAAATCCTACAATGCCTCATGAGTAAAAAGCCATTACTCCACTTAGAGTCTTATGTAGAAGAAAGAGGAATAATCTGATAATGATTTTATGCCTATTTGTAGAATGCAAATTACTTTTTGAAAATCTTGTAGTACTAAGCTTAATTGATCTAAAACTTTAAAGTTTAAAAGTTATCGTCATATAACAGTTTAGAAAACTCTTTAATGTAAAACATTATGATTTGTTTTGCTTTCTTTAATGATATTTTAAGTCTAATGCTTACTTATCTTTGGATTTACAGACCAAATAAATATTTACATAATTTATTTAAGAGGAAATATTGTGAATAAGGATACTTTCTTAGAAAATTAACAATAATTTTCCTGTTTACATTCTGGAAACTTTCTCGTGCATCTCTCACGATGATTGTCACACACAAATTAAAGAAATTTTTATAAATTCTTACAATTTTAAATTATATTTTTAAACTAATTTTAATTATTTAGATATGTAAATGTTAAATTTAAAATTATTAATTATAATGCCCATAAGAGTAAGACNTATTTTATATAATATTAATTAATATATTATATTATAATTAATATTACAATATTAAAATGTAACTTATCATGCTTATAGTATAAAATTTGTAATCTATATATTTTTTTAATGTTAAAGTAAGCTTAATTTATTAATCTTATATTTTACATTACTTATTTGGAATTTAATACAATATCGAAAAGAATTTAATATTTTAATATGTAATTCGTGAGTCTGGATCCATTTATTCATCTCAAATTAAATTATAAAATTTTAAAAATAAACATGATTCATTTCCATTAATATAATGCGTTAAACAGAATGAGAGCCTCAATATATCCATTACAATAAAAAGAAGCATTAAAAATAATTTTAAAATTAGTTTTACAGCAAACTAATAAATATTCACGAACGAGCTTAGACTTAGATTTATAATGCTCAAATTATATTTTTGATATTTTTAAAACATGCATTGATGCTGAATAATAGAACTTTAGGCTATAAAAATAAAAACAATAATTGACATGCAGCATCATTTAAAAATTAATTAAATCTTAATAAATAAAAGGAAAATTTTTCAAAAAATTATTATTATGTTAGAGTAATTGAGTGATAAATTATTATGGTAATGTGCACAACATTCGAGGAAGTTATTTTAAACCAGACAAGATTTTTTAAAATAAATCTTCAAATCTCCAACTTTATGGACTCAAAACTCCATGAGAAATATAAATTTATATCTCAAATTATATATATATTAAGCAAGACATTTTTCATTTTTGCTTTAAAGACCATTTTAACTCCATCTAACAATTTGGTTACAGGGTGATTACCTCCTAATGTCCCATAACGAGAGTTATTCTTAACAAAAGAATATATGTGTATAATTTTTTTGTTTTCATCTTTTGTTCACGACTTTGCTTGATGGTGAGAGACCGATAAAACTAGAACTGAACTATCAACAGACAGGTTTTGAAGTGAACTTCAGGTTTGTTGCTGAACACGTACTTTTGACATTTGACATCGTTCTGTTGTTTCTAAACACGATTGTTTCATTTCGAGTAAGTAAATAGCGTAAAAAGAAACTTGATTACTTTATAATCGTAACAAAAATTTTCATAAAAATAAAAAAAATATTCCTGTTTGTAAAGTAAATTTCATTTTTTTTTCATGTTTATGCTTCCCTTACAGGACATATGATTTTGAAGTAAATTTTTCTTTGATTTATTATGGGCTATTTGTATTAGGGACATTTTTCGTGCTGAAGATTACATGAAATTCTATTATTTTGCTGATAATAAAATTAATAAATTGAGAAACTTTTCATTATTCTAGGAATGATTCATTATTCTGTCTTCTGGGCATTATTTCTGTATTAAAGAATCTTTAGGAAATGCACTCGTATTAATAAATTTTTTCCTTTAAAATAATGTTAAAAATTGAATATTTAATTTCTTATATTTATTAAATAATTTTTTATATTTTTATTATCATTTTGTGTCAATTTAATTAACTTTTAAAATCATTAAAATTCAAAGTATTCAAATTTAAAATATATTTTAAATTATAATTATTCTAAATAAACTTAAAATCTCGACAACCTATTTCTAAATACAGTACGAGCAATTTTTTTTATATTTTGTATTTTAATATGCAAATTCATATTTAAAATGCAAAAGAGTAAATGAGATTTAAAAGTTCATTTGATAAATGATTTAATGAATTAAAGGTTAAAAGAATTCTTTAAAATATTGTTACTTTATTTACCTATGTTAAAGAATTGAGTAAATTATTGATGTCTGTTTCCATGACACTCATTTTAATTATAGGCCTACTAGAGAAAGACAATTTACATACAAGAGCAAAACTAAATAAGTAAAGACAAATTTACATTATTTTATAAAAACAAATAATACTTTTTTATTGCTCTAAATCCAAAAATAATGTAAGTTTTTCCTTAACAACTTAATTTCATCGGAAAATGTTCGAATATTTCATTATTGTTGACTTTGTAGCAATTTGATTTATAAATATTGAGTTTTAATTTAATCTTTGAACAGGGAAAAAAGTATAATTTTATTGTTTATCTTCCTTGGGAACAAGGACAATTGGCTTTTAATTGGGAGACAATGACTGCACAAGATGGATCACCTCACCATCATTTTCTCTCGTTTGCAAGAAAGAGTATACTAAAGCAGTGCACATAATTATTTTCTATCGTGATCATGGCTAACCTATATTCTTATAATCTGAATTAATTGACTACCGTTGCGGGTTACTAATTGAAAAACTGGATTCGAAAAATTAAACTTATATCAAATAATTTTCTCAATTTAAAACATTTTTCAATTTTCACAAAAAAGTAATAAACTTAAAGATTTTTCTGAGATTCTCTCAAGATTACTGGATTTCTCGAGTGTTTGAGAAATAAAAAAATTTCATCGGATATAAATCTGTATTCATTAAAATTATTGTTTTGTTTTAAAGGTAAAAATGGATCCTTGACGTTTTCTAGAAGATCCATCCAAAGGCTACAATGATCGGTAAGTAAGGCTTCTACTTTATATATTTAATATAATCATCATAATATATTTTTACTATTGTTTTATGAAACATATTAAGCAAAATATAAGTATCCTTTTTAATACAGTATCTGATCAATAAGAATAAGAGATTTAGCGTTTCTTTATAAACAATTTGATGATCTGTTCTCAATTTTCTGAATGAACATTAAGGAATACAGCATTAACATAGACAAAGCACGAACTAGAATATTTTAAATTACCAAATTTCTAAGACCATTCTAATAGGGGTCTATGATTAAACTTTCATAGAAATAAAAAATATAAAAAAAAATTGCAATTATATGCCGACTAGAATTATTCTTTTTCAATTTTTCGTGCGGAATTGTATGCAAATCACGTGAAAATTCTATTTTTCTAACTAACACATTGTTACTTAATATCAATGAAAAAGCGTTCACCATTACAATAAGAAGTTTCAAATACGGATAATCAGGACGAACCGACATGTAAAAACTAAGGCAGTTACAAAAAATAAAGATATCATCCTATACAACTCCACGTGGCATGGGAATGTGTTATTGGGCGCGTTGACTGATAATTTCGTAAGTTACGTCATCTAGTCTTTTAAGGATTCTTTCTTTAATCGTTTTTCCTTAAATCATTAGAAATGAATTATTGCGTGTAGTTAATGGAAGAAATTTTATTCAATGAAAAAATAAACATTTTTTTATATTGAATATTTTTGGTTTAAACATCAAGATAAAGGATATTTCAATTAAAAATTTCGATTATACTTTCAATGTTAAAACTAATTTTTTTTTTTATGTCTACTATCTTTAATTCATTTCATGAATAGAATAACTTCTGTAAACCGGACTAGTTAAAGCGAAAATTTCATTATCGTTTAACCTTCATATTACTGAATTAACTTCCTGGCAATTATTTAACTAACTTCCTTTTTTATTCAAGCAATAACAAAACATTTGATAGACTATCATCTAACAAAAGGATTTTCGATTTTTCAGATGATCTCCTCTTTGCCTGTGTCATTATATTTCTTTTATTCTCGCAAATTAAGTTGGACAAGGTAAGACCGATATCAAATTTTCTCTAATGCATAAAATTTGTATTTTATGAATCCTAGTAATGTATTAATTCCACAAATGACATCATCGAAATACGGTATTTATATAATTTCTCTGATAAGAATCACCCGAAAAAACTATATACAGTATACATAAAGTCAAAATATGTTAGGTAAAGGCCTATACCGTTTTAAGTGTCCACACCAAATAAAGCATGAGTATTCTTGATACCTAGAAAAAATATTGTGTCACCTCATCTCTACTTAAGCCCAAGGAAACTTTTTATGTTTTGCAGTTTCATTATTGTAAATACTCAGGTCAATAAATGTATATTTTAAATACCAAGACCACTGTTTATATCATCTCCCAACCCAACTTCATCAAATCCCTACCTCCTCAATGGCTCAAGCAACTCCTGACATATGCAGCAGTAGTAGTGTATATAAATTTAAAATAAAGGAGAATTTATTTTTCTCCTCATTAATAAATTCGAATCTTGCTTTTTGCTCAGAGGATGATTGCAAACCTTTGAGCCTTGAATTCCAACAGACAAACTGTTACATAGGAAGAGATATACTTAAAGTATACAAACTATATTTAATGTACAGTACATTACACGGTTACTAATTTTGCATATTTAAAAATATTCTAGTCGCCCAGACTGGCCGTCATATAGAATTTATAGAAAATTAAATTTATATTTTATATAAAGTATATAGGCATATAATATATTCAATTAACAAAAATCTGTAAAATATTTATATGCAAATCATTTAAAACTGTAAATGTATTAAACAATACACCACTACATTAAGTAAATTTGTACTAGATAACTCTTTTTAACTTTTGCACACAACAGGATGGAAAATATCCTTTACTGAACGCTATACCTGATACGAACTTTACTTGCGGTCATCGATCACCCGGTTATTACGGAGATCCTCATCCTCTAGCGCAATGCCAAGTGTATCACATGTGCATGGGAGGACGCCATTTTGCCTATCTTTGTCCCAATCACACACTCTTTCATCAGGATCGACTCGTCTGCGATCATTGGTATCACGTAAGTGCATCGAATTTTTTTTTATTTATTAAATAAGGGAGAGGATTTGGATCATTCTCAGGGTCAAAATAATCTATTTTTTGGATTTCTATGGATACTCGGCTTTAATTTACCCCTATTTAAGTAAATAGATGTAGATTTTTATTTACAGGTGAACTGTACAGATATGGAGAGGAGATACAGAATCAACGAAGAACTGTTTTCTAAAAAATCCTCTCGGACATCCAACAAGACGTCGATCATTTTCTCCGGAAAAAATAAACATAAATCGAAATGTAACGGATGTCTCAAGTACTATTTTCGAGATAAACAGTTGTGTGTCCCGTGTGTCAGACCTCGATGATATGAAAACTGTCTTTCCAATTTTTTCTAAGACTCAAATTCGGGTCCACGATCGAGTCCAGAATTAAAACAATTTGTCAATGGGTGAAATCCCTCGAAACAAAGAATGGGTATTTTACTTTTGGACGATTTGATGACCTGATTGGTACCATAAAGAAACAATTTATGTAAGAAAATACTTCATCGAATGTGCTTTATTAAAATTATAAAATAAATTTATATGTATATATTTACAATGAAATTATATATTCAAATTATTAACCCTAAATCGAAAAAAATTTCCAACTCGGAATTAACACAAAATTCTAAGGTTTTGTTTGTGTACAGTGGGCGGTCTGCCGAGGACTTTCTATGGGGAAACTGGTCCCTATTTAGCTGTTAAAACGTGAAGAAAACCCGGAAAACTCCACGTGGCCAGCCCTTGGCGATACTCGAACTCTTGCTCAGTGGTTTTATCCACTCGGCTACAAATTTCTAAGTAGAGATTTTAATTATTAAAATTGCAGCCAGGCATTGTGACGATGTCACAGCAAATAATTGCCCGTTAATCATATTTTTAATTTATTTAATTTAAAATACAGTATACGCTCTTTACCTCAAATTAGTAGAGGCTTGCCCCTGTACATCATACTTTTCCTTTAACAATAGAGTCGTGCTGGTAATCGATTAACTGTTTTCAGAGAAAAATTTGAATTGAAATAACGTGACTCCCAGTTTACGTCAGAAGTTCATATATAATTAATCGGGGTCTCCTGTCCCTAAGATTTCCATATCCGGTCTCGTCTTTCATCTATCTAACTCCGTTCTCGAGATTAAGGAAAGACGGACGGACGGATGACAGTATGGAAATTTATGTCTCCGCCTTTTTGAAATTGCAAGGCAAAAATAATTTATTCAGAAAGGAAAAACAGTCGATCTTGAATGAATAATTTTGTCATCGTAGAAATAAGCTGATAATTCATTTTCATGGGACTACTTTTAAAACAGGATCTCAAATTCTGGCCTAGATTCTACTGGACGTCATCCAAAATAGTAAATAATTTATCGAATCGATCACAATATCTTGTCGTTACATTATCAGATATATTTGTATGATCATTACTTAATTTTTTATATAATTTATAAAATGAAATAAGGAAGTAAAATATTTTAGAATTAACAATGAAAGCGAGAAATAAAAAGTTAACGTTGATTAATTCCAGGAGAGTAAAAGCGTAGAGTTTTAATTTGTTATTGAAATAAAATACGAGTAGATATGCAAATATCCGAAAGACATGCGTAGTACAAAAACTTGGTACAATGTTGCTCATAGAAAGTATGCGATGTCAAGAAATCATACGTGGATGATTATTTAATTTCGATATTATTCAGATTTTTCTTATAATCCAATTATAGATTATTTCAATGCTAAAACTAATTATTAAAGTTGAACGTTATTGAAATAATAATATTAACTCAATATTCTTTCAATTTTGCTTTATTAAAACAACTCAATTCTCTCCCTAATAGAAAATATTTTATAAATATTAACTAAACAGAAGAAATATATTTGCTGCATGATAAATCTTCACTGAGAAGAACTTTCCTTTTAGCTGTTAAGTCTAGACATCAGCACTAAAGTTTTAGGAAGAGCTAATTAGTTTCGTTGAAAAATATTCTTTAAATTAGGTTAGTAAAACAATCCGGAAGCCCATCAGACGCGATATTTATTTGGAAGATTATTCTCAGTCTACTCATACTTTACTAAACTATTTCGTAACTTTTCAGTAATGTCACAGTTCCGAAATTTACTGATTGGTATCTCTTACCTTTTAAAAGTTGGTTAAAGTCTAGAGAATCACCCCTCTTAATATCTATAAGAATCACCTGAATAATTAAGTGGCAAGCATAAAGGAATTATTGTAAATAATAAAACCTTCAAATATTCCGAATTCTAAACTGTCAGAAAAAGTTTTTCAACCCCCTTTTCTACGAAATCTAAAAAATTATTTGTTGTTTTAATTGTTCAGTATGTGTGGTTTCATCTTCTCTTTGCTTGGACTTGATGATGAATAATTTTGATGATGACATTATTTGTATGACTTTTATCTTCATCTTTATTCAAATTATAAAGTATAATCAATCGATAGTTCGAACCATTACGTTCATAAAAAATAGACTATCATGGATTGTTTATTTAGCTGCTTACCTCTCACTTCGTGCTTTAAATAATAAACAAAATGTCTGAATAAGAATTTCAAAAATTAGAATTTGAACGAACTTTCCGTATAATTCTATAAGAATAATGCCAACTTACATGTTTCATTTCCTAATTCCCTCTAAAAATATTGTTTACATCTGTATTTTATTCAAATTATCCAAAGATGGAAATGGTTCCATTCAGTTTATTATTATTATTTTTTAACTCTATACCCTTTGGGCACTAAGAGGGCCTCTTTTAGCAAACCCATTATGGGGCGGCCGGGTGATAGATCGAGATAGAAGAACGAGGCATGACATATCCGGGCGAACCACTCACAACCTGAAAACGAAACTCCAAGAATTTTTCTTGGAGTGTCGTTTTCAGGTCGAAGAAACTCCAAGAATTTTCCTTGGACCCGTGCAGATTCGATTCCGGGTGCCCAGAGCGGTAGGCTGCCACCTTGACCGCTCGGCCGTCCAACCATCGAACCATTTCCATTAATATGAGTTTGTTTGCAACCAATAATGATGTAATGTTGCAATGTTTTTCAAATCTTCCTGTTTTCATAAAAATGAGGTAGTATTGTAGATAAAGTGTGCCGAAGAAACAGGCTTAACATTGGAAAATTATTCCTTTTTCAAAAACTCGTTTACATAAAATATTCCTTGAAATAATTATATAAAACAGAAAACTTATTATATATCATGGTGATATGGATCATTATACTTTCAGAAATAACTTAATTCTAGTACAGTATAAGGAGTGATTCTATTTGCCACAGAATCTAATCATTCCTGATTACTACATTTGTTGAAATGTTACTTTTTCCATTAAAATACTTAAAAAGATGAATTCCATTATCCTCAAATTTGAGCCTTAGAAATAGTATGTGGAAAATAATAATTTTACACAAACATATAATACATTTATAAAAATATGCTCAAAATAATTTACAACTATAAACATTTAACTGCAGAAAATTTAATTATACATATGTAATTTCTAACTATTTTTAATATATGTAAAATGTATTTTTTTATTCCAAAATCTCTCTCAAACTCTTAATTTATACCAATAGCAACAGATTTATAAACAAAAGAAAGTGCTATGTAAATTTTATATTTATTCTTAAAAAATTATATTAAAACAAATAATGTTATATTATTTTGTAACTATTAAACAATGTACGTTAATTTACATGGAATTGATTTATGAATAATATATTTAACAGCATAAAACATCCATTTCTCTCTGTGGAATGCAGACTATTCCAAGATTTGTAAAAGTGTTGCCAAAGTTTATTACATTAATCTTATAGCTTAATGATATAAAGTTAATTTCAGAAAATCATTTAAAATTTTTGCCTCTTTTAAGAAAAACTCTTCCATTTGTTGAAATCTGTCGAAATTAGATCAAGGAACATTTATTAATAGATCATCTCTTATATAAAGGATTTCTGAAAAAATTGTGCCTACATTTTGATAGCCCGATTCAAACATGACTTTTTTAAAAATAAATCTTTACTACTGCAGGTTTTCTATGGCCAGCAATTGAAAAGTATAAGCAACTATCTCAATAGACTTTTTCATGAACAATTTGAAAACTAAAAATGTCATATCTGATAATTTAATGATTTATCATACTGTAAGAACATACATCTATTATATATTTTAATATAGGTAACTTCCCACAGAGATAGGCAGAGGAAAAGTTTATAATAGAAAACTAACCAAATGTTGGTCATAAACAAATGTATATTTTTTGGCAGTCTATATACTTTTACAAAATAACCGTGGTATGGAAAAAATATCATTAACATTGATCATATCTCTACTGTCTGAAGATAAAATAATCAATCTCCAAAAAACATTAAAATCAAGTTGCTTACTTGATATCACATTAATTAGTATCCAAGTGCACATGAAAAATTTTTTTTTTTTATTTCCATCTAACTAATTTATATGAAAATAAAACTCAAAATAAGGAGAATAACTGACCTTTGACCAAAAAATTTTAATTTTTTCGAAATAAAATAAAAACCTGAAATGGTAGAGAGATGAATACTTCAGAGCTCTTATTTAACTCCATGTTATTTTTCCCTGTGAAAATGGACAGAGAAATAAGTTTATAATATAAAACTACTAATTATTGATGAAGATGAGGATTGGGTGAATCGTATATTGACAAATATAATACAGTCAGTATAAATAACTTACTCGTACACTTCACAAATGTATATCGAACTCAGATAATCTACTCTTAACTACTTTAGCAATACTAAAAATTCAGTATCTAATGACAACAGGAGGTTCAGACATTCAAACATCCTACTGTCTGTAAGTAGACAAGAAACTAGCATCCAATATGCTTACTGTAAGAGTTTATAACATGCAATCATTCTCACAAGCATACATTCATGCACACAGACACAAATATACATATATATTTATATACATGTACTGTACAGTACATCATATCCAATTTTTGTAAAACACAATCCTTCCAATAAGCTTAATGTACAGTACTTTATTGTATGACATTTAACAATGAGTGCGGCACAAACTTCCCAATGTCTAAACTACTGAAACTATGATATTACAAACAGTAGTTAAGTCTAGATTCTCAGATTTTGTGCTGTAATCTTTATGAGAGGTGTTTTACATAATAAAATGCTTTATTGATTATTGTTATAATGATACTGTTTCATATAAATTAGTTGGATAGGAGCAAACATTTAAATACAGGAAATGACTTCATTAATCCTGTATATTAATTTCAATACACATGGCATATTATTTAAAGATTCTATAAATTCTAATAATTAACCAATTTTTCCGTATATAACTTACCTAATGTTCTGAGAATTGTCTGTTTTCTATATCCTAAACTGGCTTTTGAGTCATTTAGATTATTCTCTCCTTTGTTGTTGCTAATTATTTTTTCAAATACTTTTAATATGTAGAAGATATGATTGCTGTATCTTCAAATTCTGTGTGTAGCGTCTTTGCAATTAAAGCAATAATTTTGGTAGACGATCAAACAGCAATTAGTTAGAAAACATTACGGTTTATTTAAAACACTTTAATTCAGATGCATTTCGAGTTGGCTTGTATTCCCAACCCTCTCCAGTGCTGTTAAAATTACAAAAAACAAGTGAGTTTCACCACATTGGTAAGTGGGACGTACCAAAAACGAGGGGTGACAATAACATAAAAAAACTTGCATGTTATATAATGGTACAGCATAGACTTGTGTGACAATATTTTTATTACATAGTTGTATGACTATTTTCTATAATATGAAAAAAGTAAAGGACATGACTGTTTAACACATCATTTATATAAAAATATATAACATAGATTATTAATTTCAAAATATCTATAAATACTTACATTTTTAGTTAATATGTATTATTCCCGATAAAAAATGAAATACAGTAAAAATTGACAACTGGTGTTATCCGGTGTTCACAGAGTAACAGTATACCGACAAGTAATGTTATTTAAACCATTCCTAACATTCCGTACAAGGGGGTGTGCTTTTAAACAATCTTTAATGCGTGGAGGCGCGCTCTGTTAGTTTATACCATTGGGAGTCTTATTGACATGCCTTCTGAAATATTAATTATGTTATCTTTAGGGTGTTTTTTGATTTCAATGTGTTCTTTAAATTTCCTTTTATATGTGTCTTTTTCTAAATAAAAACAATATAAAAGTGTTACATTTAGAAAAAGACCCATATAAAAGGAAACTTAAAGAACACATAGAAATCAAAAAACACCCTAAAGATAATTAATATTTCAGAAGGCATGTCGATAGACCCCCAATGGTATAAACTAACAGAGAGCGCCTCCACGCGTTAAAGATTGTTTAAAAGCACACCCCCTTGTACGGAATGTTAGGAATGGTTTAAATAACATTACTTGTCGGTGTACTGTTACTCTGTGAACACCGGATAACACCAGTTGTCAATTTTTACTGTATTTCATTTTTTATCGGGAATAATACATATTAACTNTAAACTTATATCAAATAATTTTCTCAATTTAAAACATTTTTCAATTTTCACAAAAAAGTAATAAACTTAAAGATTTTTCTGAGATTCTCTCAAGATTACTGGATTTCTCGAGTGTTTGAGAAATAAAAAAATTTCATCGGATATAAATCTGTATTCATTAAAATTATTGTTTTGTTTTAAAGGTAAAAATGGATCCTTGACGTTTTCTAGAAGATCCATCCAAAGGCTACAATGATCGGTAAGTAAGGCTTCTACTTTATATATTTAATATAATCATCATAATATATTTTTACTATTGTTTTATGAAACATATTAAGCAAAATATAAGTATCCTTTTTAATACAGTATCTGATCAATAAGAATAAGAGATTTAGCGTTTCTTTATAAACAATTTGATGATCTGTTCTCAATTTTCTGAATGAACATTAAGGAATACAGCATTAACATAGACAAAGCACGAACTAGAATATTTTAAATTACCAAATTTCTAAGACCATTCTAATAGGGGTCTATGATTAAACTTTCATAGAAATAAAAAATATAAAAAAAAATTGCAATTATATGCCGACTAGAATTATTCTTTTTCAATTTTTCGTGCGGAATTGTATGCAAATCACGTGAAAATTCTATTTTTCTAACTAACACATTGTTACTTAATATCAATGAAAAAGCGTTCACCATTACAATAAGAAGTTTCAAATACGGATAATCAGGACGAACCGACATGTAAAAACTAAGGCAGTTACAAAAAATAAAGATATCATCCTATACAACTCCACGTGGCATGGGAATGTGTTATTGGGCGCGTTGACTGATAATTTCGTAAGTTACGTCATCTAGTCTTTTAAGGATTCTTTCTTTAATCGTTTTTCCTTAAATCATTAGAAATGAATTATTGCGTGTAGTTAATGGAAGAAATTTTATTCAATGAAAAAATAAACATTTTTTTATATTGAATATTTTTGGTTTAAACATCAAGATAAAGGATATTTCAATTAAAAATTTCGATTATACTTTCAATGTTAAAACTAATTTTTTTTTTTATGTCTACTATCTTTAATTCATTTCATGAATAGAATAACTTCTGTAAACCGGACTAGTTAAAGCGAAAATTTCATTATCGTTTAACCTTCATATTACTGAATTAACTTCCTGGCAATTATTTAACTAACTTCCTTTTTTATTCAAGCAATAACAAAACATTTGATAGACTATCATCTAACAAAAGGATTTTCGATTTTTCAGATGATCTCCTCTTTGCCTGTGTCATTATATTTCTTTTATTCTCGCAAATTAAGTTGGACAAGGTAAGACCGATATCAAATTTTCTCTAATGCATAAAATTTGTATTTTATGAATCCTAGTAATGTATTAATTCCACAAATGACATCATCGAAATACGGTATTTATATAATTTCTCTGATAAGAATCACCCGAAAAAACTATATACAGTATACATAAAGTCAAAATATGTTAGGTAAAGGCCTATACCGTTTTAAGTGTCCACACCAAATAAAGCATGAGTATTCTTGATACCTAGAAAAAATATTGTGTCACCTCATCTCTACTTAAGCCCAAGGAAACTTTTTATGTTTTGCAGTTTCATTATTGTAAATACTCAGGTCAATAAATGTATATTTTAAATACCAAGACCACTGTTTATATCATCTCCCAACCCAACTTCATCAAATCCCTACCTCCTCAATGGCTCAAGCAACTCCTGACATATGCAACAGTAGTAGTGTATATAAATTTAAAATAAAGGAGAATTTATTTTTCTCCTCATTAATAAATTATATTGCTTTTTGCTCAGAGGATGATTGCAAACCTTTGAGCCTTGAATTCCAACAGACAAACTGTTACATAGGAAGAGATATACTTAAAGTATACAAACTATATTTAATGTACAGTACATTACACGGTTACTAATTTTGCATATTTAAAAATATTCTAGTCGCCCAGACTGGCCGTCATATAGAATTTATAGAAAATTAAATTTATATTTTATATAAAGTATATAGGCATATAATATATTCAATTAACAAAAATCTGTAAAATATTTATATGCAAATCATTTAAAACTGTAAATGTATTAAACAATACACCACTACATTAAGTAAATTTGTACTAGATAACTCTTTTTAATTTTTGCACACAACAGGATGGAAAATATCCTTTACTGAACGCTATACCTGATACGAACTTTACTTGCGGTCATCGATCACCCGGTTATTACGGAGATCCTCATCCTCTAGCGCAATGCCAAGTGTATCACATGTGCATGGGAGGACGCCATTTTGCCTATCTTTGTCCCAATCACACACTCTTTCATCAGGATCGACTCGTCTGCGATCATTGGTATCACGTAAGTGCATCGAATTTTTTTTTATTTATTAAATAAGGGAGAGGATTTGGATCATTCTCAGGGTCAAAATAATCTATTTTTTGGATTTCTATGGATACTCGGCTTTAATTTACCCCTATTTAAGTAAATAGATGTAGATTTTTATTTACAGGTGAACTGTACAGATATGGAGAGGAGATACAGAATCAACGAAGAACTGTTTTCTAAAAAATCCTCTCGGACATCCAACAAGACGTCGATCATTTTCTCCGGAAAAAATAAACATAAATCGAAATGTAACGGATGTCTCAAGTACTATTTTCGAGATAAACAGTTGTGTGTCCCGTGTGTCAGACCTCGATGATATGAAAACTGTCTTTCCAATTTTTTCTAAGACTCAAATTCGGGTCCACGATCGAGTCCAGAATTAAAACAATTTGTCAATGAGTGAAATCCTTCGAAACAAAGAATGGGTATTTTACTTTTGGACGATTTGATGACCTGATTGGTACCATAAAGAAACAATTTATGTAAGAAAATACTTCATCGAATGTGCTTTATTAAAATTATAAAATAAATTTATATGTATATATTTACAATGAAATTATATATTCAAATTATTAACCCTAAATCGAAAAAAATTTCCAACTCGGAATTAACACAAAATTCTAAGGTTTTGTTTGTGTACAGTGGGCGGTCTGCCGAGGACTTTCTATGGGGAAACTGGTCCCTATTTAGCTGTTAAAACGTGAAGAAAACCCGGAAAACTCCACGTGGCCAGCCCTTGGCGATACTCGAACTCTTGCTCAGTGGTTTTATCCACTCGGCTACAAATTTCTAAGTAGAGATTTTAATTATTAAAATTGCAGCCAGGCATTGTGACGATGTCACAGCAAATAATTGCCCGTTAATCATATTTTTAATTTATTTAATTTAAAATACAGTATACGCTCTTTACCTCAAATTAGTAGAGGCTTGCCCCTGTACATCATACTTTTCCTTTAACAATAGAGTCGTGCTGGTAATCGATTAACTGTTTTCAGAGAAAAATTTGAATTGAAATAACGTGACTCCCAGTTTACGTCAGAAGTTCATATATAATTAATCGGGGTCTCCTGTCCCTAAGATTTCCATATCCGGTCTCGTCTTTCATCTATCTAACTCCGTTCTCGAGATTAAGGAAAGACGGACGGACGGATGACAGTATGGAAATTTATGTCTCCGCCTTTTTGAAATTGCAAGGCAAAAATAATTTATTCAGAAAGGAAAAACAGTCGATCTTGAATGAATAATTTTGTCATCGTAGAAATAAGCTGATAATTCATTTTCATGGGACTACTTTTAAAACAGGATCTCAAATTCTGGCCTAGATTCTACTGGACGTCATCCAAAATAGTAAATAATTTATCGAATCGATCACAATATCTTGTCGTTACATTATCAGATATATTTGTATGATCATTACTTAATTTTTTATATAATTTATAAAATGAAATAAGGAAGTAAAATATTTTAGAATTAACAATGAAAGCGAGAAATAAAAAGTTAACGTTGATTAATTCCAGGAGAGTAAAAGCGTAGAGTTTTAATTTGTTATTGAAATAAAATACGAGTAGATATGCAAATATCCGAAAGACATGCGTAGTACAAAAACTTGGTACAATGTTGCTCATAGAAAGTATGCGATGTCAAGAAATCATACGTGGATGATTATTTAATTTCGATATTATTCAGATTTTTCTTATAATCCAATTATAGATTATTTCAATGCTAAAACTAATTATTAAAGTTGAACGTTATTGAAATAATATTAACTCAATATTCTTTCAATTTTGCTTTATTAAAACAACTCAATTCTCTCCCTAATAGAAAATATTTTATAAATATTAACTAAACAGAAGAAATATATTTGCTGCATGATAAATCTTCACTGAGAAGAACTTTCCTTTTAGCTGTTAAGTCTAGACATCAGCACTAAAGTTTTAGGAAGAGCTAATTAGTTTCGTTGAAAAATATTCTTTAAATTAGGTTAGTAAAACAATCCGGAAGCCCATCAGACGCGATATTTATTTGGAAGATTATTCTCAGTCTACTCATACTTTACTAAACTATTTCGTAACTTTTCAGTAATGTCACAGTTCCGAAATTTACTGATTGGTATCTCTTACCTTTTAAAAGTTGGTTAAAGTCTAGAGAATCACCCCTCTTAATATCTATAAGAATCACCTGAATAATTAAGTGGCAAGCATAAAGGAATTATTGTAAATAATAAAACCTTCAAATATTCCGAATTCTAAACTGTCAGAAAAAGTTTTTCAACCCCCTTTTCTACGAAATCTAAAAAATTATTTGTTGTTTTAATTGTTCAGTATGTGTGGTTTCATCTTCTCTTTGCTTGGACTTGATGATGAATAATTTTGATGATGACATTATTTGTATGACTTTTATCTTCATCTTTATTCAAATTATAAAGTATAATCAATCGATAGTTCGAACCATTACGTTCATAAAAAATAGACTATCATGGATTGTTTATTTAGCTGCTTACCTCTCACTCCGTGCTTTAAATAATAAACAAAATGTCTGAATAAGAATTTCAAAAATTAGAATTTGAACGAACTTTCCGTATAATTCTATAAGAATAATGCCAACTTACATGTTTCATTTCCTAATTCCCTCTAAAAATATTGTTTACATCTGTATTTTATTCAAATTATCCAAAGATGGAAATGGTTCCATTCAGTTTATTATTATTATTTTTTAACTCTATACCCTTTGGGCACTAAGAGGGCCTCTTTTAGCAAACCCATTATGGGGCGGCCGGGTGATAGATCGAGATAGAAGAACGAGGCATGACATATCCGGGCGAACCACTCACAACCTGAAAACGAAACTCCAAGAATTTTTCTTGGAGTGTCGTTTTCAGGTCGAAGAAACTCCAAGAATTTTCCTTGGACCCGTGCAGATTCGATTCCGGGTGCCCAGAGCGGTAGGCTGCCACCTTGACCGCTCGGCCGTCCAACCATCGAACCATTTCCATTAATATGAGTTTGTTTGCAACCAATAATGATGTAATGTTGCAATGTTTTTCAAATCTTCCTGTTTTCATAAAAATGAGGTAGTATTGTAGATAAAGTGTGCCGAAGAAACAGGCTTAACATTGGAAAATTATTCCTTTTTCAAAAACTCGTTTACATAAAATATTCCTTGAAATAATTATATAAAACAGAAAACTTATTATATATCATGGTGATATGGATCATTATACTTTCAGAAATAACTTAATTCTAGTACAGTATAAGGAGTGATTCTATTTGCCACAGAATCTAATCATTCCTGATTACTACATTTGTTGAAATGTTACTTTTTCCATTAAAATACTTAAAAAGATGAATTCCATTATCCTCAAATTTGAGCCTTAGAAATAGTATGTGGAAAATAATAATTTTACACAAACATATAATACATTTATAAAAATATGCTCAAAATAATTTACAACTATAAACATTTAACTGCAGAAAATTTAATTATACATATGTAATTTCTAACTATTTTTAATATATGTAAAATGTATTTTTTTATTCCAAAATCTCTCTCAAACTCTTAATTTATACCAATAGCAACAGATTTATAAACAAAAGAAAGTGCTATGTAAATTTTATATTTATTCTTAAAAAATTATATTAAAACAAATAATGTTATATTATTTTGTAACTATTAAACAATGTACGTTAATTTACATGGAATTGATTTATGAATAATATATTTAACAGCATAAAACATCCATTTCTCTCTGTGGAATGCAGACTATTCCAAGATTTGTAAAAGTGTTGCCAAAGTTTATTACATTAATCTTATAGCTTAATGATATAAAGTTAATTTCAGAAAATCATTTAAAATTTTTGCCTCTTTTAAGAAAAACTCTTCCATTTGTTGAAATCTGTCGAAATTAGATCAAGGAACATTTATTAATAGATCATCTCTTATATAAAGGATTTCTGAAAAAATTGTGCCTACATTTTGATAGCCCGATTCAAACATGACTTTTTTAAAAATAAATCTTTACTACTGCAGGTTTTCTATGGCCAGCAATTGAAAAGTATAAGCAACTATCTCAATAGACTTTTTCATGAACAATTTGAAAACTAAAAATGTCATATCTGATAATTTAATGATTTATCATACTGTAAGAACATACATCTATTATATATTTTAATATAGGTAACTTCCCACAGAGATAGGCAGAGGAAAAGTTTATAATAGAAAACTAACCAAATGTTGGTCATAAACAAATGTATATTTTTTGGCAGTCTATATACTTTTACAAAATAACCGTGGTATGGAAAAAATATCATTAACATTGATCATATCTCTACTGTCTGAAGATAAAATAATCAATCTCCAAAAAACATTAAAATCAAGTTGCTTACTTGATATCACATTAATTAGTATCCAAGTGCACATGAAAAATTTTTTTTTTTTATTTCCATCTAACTAATTTATATGAAAATAAAACTCAAAATAAGGAGAATAACTGACCTTTGACCAAAAAATTTTAATTTTTTCGAAATAAAATAAAAACCTGAAATGGTAGAGAGATGAATACTTCAGAGCTCTTATTTAACTCCATGTTATTTTTCCCTGTGAAAATGGACAGAGAAATAAGTTTATAATATAAAACTACTAATTATTGATGAAGATGAGGATTGGGTGAATCGTATATTGACAAATATAATACAGTCAGTATAAATAACTTACTCGTACACTTCACAAATGTATATCGAACTCAGATAATCTACTCTTAACTACTTTAGCAATACTAAAAATTCAGTATCTAATGACAACAGGAGGTTCAGACATTCAAACATCCTACTGTCTGTAAGTAGACAAGAAACTAGCATCCAATATGCTTACTGTAAGAGTTTATAACATGCAATCATTCTCACAAGCATACATTCATGCACACAGACACAAATATACATATATATTTATATACATGTACTGTACAGTACATCATATCCAATTTTTGTAAAACACAATCCTTCCAATAAGCTTAATGTACAGTACTTTATTGTATGACATTTAACAATGAGTGCGGCACAAACTTCCCAATGTCTAAACTACTGAAACTATGATATTACAAACAGTAGTTAAGTCTAGATTCTCAGATTTTGTGCTGTAATCTTTATGAGAGGTGTTTTACATAATAAAATGCTTTATTGATTATTGTTATAATGATACTGTTTCATATAAATTAGTTGGATAGGAGCAAACATTTAAATACAGGAAATGACTTCATTAATCCTGTATATTAATTTCAATACACATGGCATATTATTTAAAGATTCTATAAATTCTAATAATTAACCAATTTTTCCGTATATAACTTACCTAATGTTCTGAGAATTGTCTGTTTTCTATATCCTAAACTGGCTTTTGAGTCATTTAGATTATTCTCTCCTTTGTTGTTGCTAATTATTTTTTCAAATACTTTTAATATGTAGAAGATATGATTGCTGTATCTTCAAATTCTGTGTGTAGCGTCTTTGCAATTAAAGCAATAATTTTGGTAGACGATCAAACAGCAATTAGTTAGAAAACATTACGGTTTATTTAAAACACTTTAATTCAGATGCATTTCGAGTTGGCTTGTATTCCCAACCCTCTCCAGTGCTGTTAAAATTACAAAAAACAAGTGAGTTTCACCACATTGGTAAGTGGGACGTACCAAAAACGAGGGGTGACAATAACATAAAAAAACTTGCATGTTATATAATGGTACAGCATAGACTTGTGTGACAATATTTTTATTACATAGTTGTATGACTATTTTCTATAATATGAAAAAAGTAAAGGACATGNTGTGCTAATCTTGTATTAATTTCTAATGTATCTCTTTCATATTGATGAATTTGTATTCCAAGATAACTGTAATGTTCACATCCCTCAATCTTTTCTCTTCCTTCCAGTTCCATGTCTGTTTTAGCCCTTCCTATGCATAAATATTTTGTTTTACTCATATTTATATATAAACCTCCTTTAAAATATTCCTCTTTTATTTTTCTTGTCATGTACTCCAGATCATCAAGGGATAAATAACATAAAAAAAATTTAAAATGAAATTATGCCACCCTTTAGTGACAAATTATTTAGTAATTAATTAAATATAATTGTGGAAAGTATCCTTTTGGGCATCAAAACTACTGAAAAACAATTTCTGTTAATATATATCAAAAATGTTTTATTCATACATAATACAGAAATGTACTGTATTAATTAATGAAATATTGTACCTCCAATCAAACCTATTGCAATTTACCATGTAGGAACCTCTTTGAAACTTGTTCATCTTGAATTTTTTTATTGTTCCCATGAAATTCAAGACAGCAGGTTCAACTGTATTCTTCTGTATGCCACAAGACAGTTTTTCAACAGTTAAACTTTATTACATAATTTCTTTTTTGAAATTGGTTTTTAAAATACTATAAGACAGTCCATTTAATAATTCATGAATAATATTTAGTTGTTAATGAAGATTTCTATAGCTGAGACATAGGATGTTCCAGAGGCTCTCCACTTAGAGGTGATTATGACAAGACTGAGAAGGAAGATTTGGGAGAATATGTTGAATTAATATTACAGTATATAAATGATGTTATTGTTATTTGGAGAAATGATGGTATAATTTGTTGCTTTATGGAAACATTTTTCAATACAATCTTAAATCTGACCCTAAAAGAAGAATAATGCTCAGAGCATTTTGTGAATTTTTAATGTTTTGATTCAGAAGAAAAGATAAGTAACATCTATGTATTGAAAAAGAACTTTTTTGAACGTATTTATATTCCCTAATAGTTTGTGGAATCCTAGAAAATATATTTTAGCAGCATTTACAATCCTACTACATAGAGCAATAAATAGGAGCAGATTAAGCTTACTGAGAGTAAATTTATAAAACCCAAAAAAAGTGTTTAAATACATGTACAGGTACAAAAAAAACTAGGGCTTCACTATAAAAAATTTAAACACACACATGTGATTTAATACTACAAAAACTTTTAACATATAAGCGTTAAATTAGACACCTATGTCACTAAAATGACAAAAAAANTTATTTAAATATATATATATATAAATATATTAATAATAATAATAAATTAATTAATAATGAAAGACAAAAGGAAAACAATATTGATTTATAAGTATAAAAATGTATTTCATTTTGTAAGTTTTAATACAAACAGCAGCAACAGTTTAAATACTCACTCCACATGCATTCTTAGATTTCTGTTGACCAAATGTCAGTACATGTACAGTCATAAAATAGGACAATTTAAGTGAAGACAAATGACTGTATCTAACAAATGAATGATTCATTTTGCAATACACTACAATGTTTTCCAAAAATCATCATTGCCATAAAGATAGTGCATGTTCTTTTTTTGTATGTGATTCATCATAATAAACCACACAATGTTCCATGAAATGTCTACACTCCAAATTTTATACACAAACGTAGATAAATAGGCTTTATTATATACACAGCATTTACAAAAGAAAGTGGTTTAGTACTAACAATTTAATCTTCATTTACATATAAGTTATTTTTTCAATAACCTCTGAGAAAGGTACTCAAGCGAGAAGACAAGGCAACTACTCACATGCAATAATTGACAATGAATGAGAGGTAACACTTAAAGATGACAATTATTTCGGAGTTATGAGTAAATTAAACAGGAACTAAACAGCTGGATTTAAAATACCAGCAACATAAATGGGGGTACCTATCTGTTAGTTTGATATTGGTTAGTATTTGGCAGTTTCAATTCTTTTGAAATACAGTATTAAAGTTATTTTTATTTTTTTATAAAAATATCTTAAAAAGAGGAAATTAAAATAGTTTATAATTTATTTAAACTTTAAATTAAATGCAAATATAATAAATAATTTCTATTTATTTGCCAAATTAACATTTAGTTGAAAACTTAAAAATGTAAAGTGTACCAAAATGTGAAAGAATGTTTATGTTGTTCCTATGTACCATTCACTGCAAGCCAATATAAAATAACTGTTAGAATAGTAGAATAGATAACTTTCACATAATTCCTCGCTCTCTTGATCATATGAATAGGTAACATACATAAGTATGGACCAAAGTTTATACAACAATAACTTACTTGCCCAAATAACATTTTCTTTTGTAATCTGACACATTGTAATATGTTACACTTCACAATTCTGGTTTCTGTACACTTTTTAATTTTTATGAATATACCAAATTCATACCACTTACACAAGGCCTTAGGTAGTGAATTCTCACATCCAAGTCTCTTGTGACAACAGATTAATTATCTTTATCCAACATGATAACTTCCATAATAAATACAATGTTGGAAGAAAAAAATGTCCGTATTGTTCATTCTCTAAGGCATAGTCTCGTTTCCATTATAGTTCAATAAAAAAAGTTATCAGGATTTTTGTAATGAATTCTCTGATGAACACTGAGCTGGAATTCAAACAGTCAATTTTCTTTCATTTACACATAATATATGATTTACAAATATTCATTCATACATGCTTATGTGCATTTAATTTCACACTTATTTAGATTTACTCAGAAGAACAAGTGTGCAGTCATACTCACAAGCATACATTCATGCACACAGACACACACATACATATATATTTATATATATGTACATCATATCCAATTTTTGTAAAACACAATCCTTCTAATGACTTGGGATAAGCACAATGCAGTGCCAGATCTGTGAACATCACAACCACAAAATTTGGAGGCTTCAAATTCTTCTGTGATTTAAATGTTAAGACCAGATACATAACAATATATTAGAAATGTTCATGGAAAGTTAATTTGGTTGTTGACACCATTTAATAAATGATGAAACAAGTGGAAAAACTGACTTAGTTCCTTTTATGATTGCATGGTCTGATGTTGATTCAATACTATATAACACCTAATGAAATACATTCCCCAGGAACATAGGAAAAAGGCAATATTAAGTGGGCAGGGAAGGCGAACCTTGCATTTGTACAGCTGTCCTTCTAGTTTCTTCATTCTTTAATAACAAAGGATGTTGCTGCTGCTTCTGGGTGGTTGTTGATACAGTTGGTACTATACCAGAAGTAGTTAGCAATCCTGGAAAATTTAAAGGCATTGTGGCAGTGGCCAATGTCAATGAGGAGGGACCAGAACTTGTGGATGTTGACTTAGCATTATGTTTTCCTACTGTTTGTAGTTGAAGTTGACTGAGTTGGGCTGATGTGAGCATCTGGCTTGTAAATACTTGCTGGTACGTAATTGACGGAGAGGGTCGAGTACCCGCCGTAACCACAGGTAAGGGTGATAAATTGACCGGTGGTGGCATGGATAAGTGAAATGTACCGTGACCACTTCCTGATGTCACTGCCAATTTCTGTATATTACTAGAATGCCGACTGGAACTTTTCACTATAAAAAGAAAAAAAAATCAATATAAATTCACAAACTCAGCAACATTACTCTAAAAAACACAAAACTTTTAGATTATCAATGATCAAGACAGTAATAATAAATTTGTCATAAAGATTATATTCATGAAAATTCTTTATAACCTCTACAAATGAATGTAGTATGAGATCAAAATGCCATAATGATACTGTAATATGGCTTATTTCATATATGTAATGTCTTTACATTTTGATAAATTTCTTAATTATAAATAAGTTTACTTTCAATTTATTTTGTGATATAAAAGCATGTCAATTTGTACACTATTGTATATAATTAATGCTATTTTCATAATTTAAATGCAACTTGTTATAAAATGATTCATAATAGTAATGTGAAACAAGTAAGCATGTAACAGAATTCTAATCATTCAGTAAACAAAAACTTTTTAAATACACTAATGCATACTAATGTTTACATAGTATGCATTAGTAGCTCTCTGAGAACGGGGAACAGTCCAGTCAGTCTTCAAATATAAATTTTTTGGAGCATATTTTATTCGCAAATCACACCTAAATTCAAAATTTCCAGCAAATAAACATCAAAATTATACGTGCTAAAAGGTAACATCAATACGGCTTTAGCACGGTATGCCAGCGATCCGGGGATTTCCCCCTGTTGGGACCAGGCCAAGCTAATACACAAGGTTTTCGACAGACAAGATATAAAAATTTTGGAGGCAGTAGAGATCTATAAGGCGAGCATGAGTGGAAACTGCATCAACACGGATGTCATTCCTGTATCAACAGCGTGGAAACGCTATCTTCACTCATAATATACGTCATAAACGATACGTCACAGCCGTTTTTCGTTCTTTTAAAATTTAAAAGGCAGCTAAATTCTATTTATAGAACGGTTTTTCCAGTTTGTATTTCCTGAAGAAGGCTGATAAATTTAGTGGCTGAAAACGTTCGATGTATAATTTTGATGTTTATTTGCTGGAAATTTTGAATTTAGGTGTGATTTGCGAATATTACAGTTCCAATTTATGGTGAGGTTGTATTTATTTAGCATATTTTATGACATTACATTTGATTATTATAGCCATTTTATTTATTTTATAATATTTTGTATTTTCTATTAAAAAGTACTTATAGTTAGTAATAACAAATAGTCCAACAAACAACTGAATACCATAATTAACATACAATATTACAATTAAAAATTAGCTTGATTATAAAAATTTTTTTTGGTGAAAAGAACGTTACCATGCTTTACGAACTACCATATTTTCCAAATGTAATCTCATCTATTCTCTTCTCAAAATTGAAAATCTCTCTTAAATTAAATTTTCAAGCATATTTTCAGCATTCATTCTACTTTAAAAAGTGAGTTTAATAACATAAACAAACAACTCCACTAACCCATTACTTTAATTACAACCAGATGATCTACTGAATTATCATGCCATAATAATGATAAGTTAATAATTAGATACAAAGTGATCATCCTGTCTAATTATTAACTTAGCCTTGTTACAACCTGATAATTCAACATATCATCTGATTTTGGAGTTGAACAACATTATATTTGCAAAGACTTTGTTTGGGTGCAAGACCAACTGGTAAAATTTCACAAGAAATGTATTTTGAAGCTGGTATTTGTACTTGTTATAGCTGCTATACGTTTAATGAAAAAGTCTGCCATCGCAATTTAGTTGTCGAAATTGTTGTGTGTATAATTCATTTTTACTCATTTTCTGGCTTTTTTGTATCAGATAAGACTATTATCAATACTATTCTTATTGACTAGATTTTACCTGGCATTACAAAGATAAAAATGCATTAATTATACTATAAACACTGTCTATTGATTTTGCCAGATCAAATGCAAATTTTTCCTAAACTGTAATTGAATTTTATGAATTTTACTTCTTGTTATCTAAAATCTAAATAGTCATAAGTGATTAAAACAAATTAGTTACATTATGAATAAATAAATGTGTTGTCTTATTAAAGCATATAACTTTTCTTTCTTTTTTTTTTTTTAAGAAATGTAAGTAATATTAATAAAATAATCTCTCCCCACTGTTTCTTAACAAATTTCATTAAAATTTTCTTTAACAGAGCAAACTGTTAAATTTAATGTAATAATTTGCAATATTTAAAAATGATTACATATGAGAGTGCTTGAATGAAATGTTCCAAATCACAAATTTTGCAAAACTTTTAAACTCCTATTTCAAATTTAAAAGAAAATTGTGATTTTCAGCAGTCCTCTAAGGAAATATTGCAAGTATATAAACTAAATTTGAAGGAGCTGTGTGTGTATGTGTATATATATATATATATATATAAACCAAAATCTGAATCACTAGTCAAATTTAAATCTAGCCTGCCAGTTATTTTTCAGATTATATTAAAGTTAATTTTGATTAATTACACATTCAAGTTTTGCTTAAAAGTAGGCAACTATACTACCAACTTAAAAAAAATTAATAATTGGAAATTTTTTGAATTTAATTGGCTAGTTTAGTAAATTCTGAAGAAAAGAGTGACCCAAAACAGGACTTAAACCTTTAACTTATGCTTATCAGATAAATGCATTATCAGCTAAGCTATCTGGACCCCTGCCTGTTTTCCTGGACTAAGGAAATCTGTATCTATAGGCATCCATGACACTCATGCAGACAGTAACAAGACAAGGCATGGTAAAGCTAAACATGTTATGTATACAATATAATATTTAGATTTTGGCTATTATATTATGCAATTACATATCTGTATTAAAGCTAATTTTAATTAATTAAAATTAACTTTAATATAGCTCAAAAATAATCTGGCAATTCAGATTAAAGTACTTGTAACAAAGTAACAATACAATATTTTCCAAAATTAAGCATAATTGAGATGGGCATTTAAAAGTTGAGCTAATTAAAGTTATTAATTAAAGACTATTTGATATGACTTGAATGCTGAAGGAAAAACAAATCAAATCTCTAAGAATTTGATTTACAAATAATACTTGATGCTATTCAACAAAGAAAATAATTGCATTACACTTCAAACAAACAGTAAATATATATCTGATATTTACATATTGTTTGAAATGTTTATGTGGACATATTAAATTTTGAAGCAATTTATGAAAATTAATTATAGCAACCTTTCTTTTCAGAAGCCTCTTGAAACTTGGTTTCCAGTTATAAGTTGTATTCATAATAATATTTATAAAGAAGGCAGAGATAAATAATTGTATATTGTATCACTTCTACAGTAAAAAATAATAATTTACAAATATAAAAAAACACCTCCATAAAGTACAGATACAAACCAAAACTTAAATAAACAGTAATATATTTAAGTACATAAAAAAGATCTAAAGCATTTATTTTATTTAAAAATCTTTCAGAATATATTTATACTAAGTTATCTTTAATCATATAAATACACTTATAGTACAGAAATCACATCTGTGTCTCTCAGTAACTTTCAGAGAATAACAACACTGAACCAAGTAAAAAATCTTCTGGTTTTCCCCACAGAATAGATATACAAACTACATACAATAAAACTGACAGAACTAAGTTCAAACAACAACACTAAAACCCATTACATTATAAAACTATGAGCCAACCAATGCAGTTTTTATCATCGGGCTAGATAATGGCTATAATACTAATAAATTATGAAACAATTTGGGTACTAGAGGGAGGTGTTAGGTGCCATTGCTTAATAAAGTATTAGTATTTAAAGAAATTAGTATTATAGCCGTTATCTAGCCCGATGACATACAGCATTGGTTGGCTTGTAGAACTTAGATCTTTGGTAATCCCAAAATTTGATAACTAACACTTCTGTGCTGAATGGATAAGTAATACTTCTATAGAATTTACATTGTTGCAGTATGTTTCTTCATTTTGATAGTATAAAACAATACAATTATGTATGAAAGAAATAAGTAATTTTTCATGCCAGATTCTTATTAGATAAAAGTTTAAGAGCACTGTCTATCAGCATTAATGAGGTTTTGATGAGTAAAACACAAAATAAATACAAAATATTTTGCAAGCACTTTTGTCATGTATAGAATTTCATTTTCAGGTGAAACAAAAACAAATTTTAGAATGTTAATATTAATTTTAACATTCATATTAAAATTTTAATATGAATAAATTTTAATAGTGCAGCATTTAAATTTAATACAGGCGTCCCAATTAGAACATATTAACATTGATGTTAAAATTCATATATGTTATAAAATTTGATTTGCTAGAAGACTTTCTATACAAGTCAAAAGTGCATGCAAAATATTTTGTATTTATTTTGTGTTTTACTCATCAAAACCTCATTAACACCAATAGACAGTGCTCTTAAACTTTTATCTAACAATATAATTATGATTCATCAATCCGTGAAGTGATCAAACATAACAGCATTTCACCTGGTAGTATTGAAAATGTTTAGGAAAATACATAAATTTTTCAATATGTCATTTAAGCAGTATAAATTTTAGACTTGAACCACACTTTTTATTAAACTATATAACTTATAATTTTTATCATGTAATTTAACCATGTTTATATTGGCAAAAACATGTTACATGACCAAAGTATTTTCAAATTGATTAATGCTTTAATAAAGCATTACTTTAGATATACAAGAAACACGTTCTAGCACAAATTTAGAATTATAAAAAATGAACTATTACAGTAAAATTTAAAACCAATGTCAAGACAAGAGTACCATTCATAACATAATTTTGCATAATAATTTGAATCTAATCAATTAAATTTTCTCCCCCCCACAATTTAAAAAATATACAAAACCACTTATTTTAACCTTCCACCTTTAATTTCACTTTTTAGTTTAAACTACAATAAATAAAATTTAGAATCCCACATGCTATTTAAATCAATGTAAATACAAAGACTTTTGGGTCAGCCAAAAAAAATATCCACACACAAAAGACATAAAATGTAATGTAAAATCCAAAATTATTTCAAATACATTATTATTTTGGTGGAATATGACACTGATACCCTCAAAAATTACAATTTTATAGAAACCATTCTGTATTTGTAATAAACACATTTTGGCAAAAGAAAATATAATTTTCCATAATATACAAATGTTTTCTTCATTTTCAACAATTTTTTTAATGAATCACCTTCAAAAATTTCCATTAATTAAATATAAGATTTTTTTTCCTTAAACTGATTTCATATTTATAAAATTTCATACTATCGTCATCATTTTGCTTCATATCATTTTACTGTAAGAGATTAAAATTTTAAGTAAATTTTAATTTTATTCAAAGCAATTGTAGAAAATTTACTGAAGAATATTTTACATTTTCCAGTTTATCATTTGTTTTCATAAAACAAAACATCCAAACACTTTATTGAAGTTCAAATTTTCTCTTAATAAAATGTTATGATCACACATGTTAAACTTATTCATTTACACCAAGAACAATTAAGAAGTTGATTATAAAATATGTCTTTTATATTAAATAAACTTAATACTGAAATCATTATACAAATTTTTTGTTAACTCCCAACACCAAATATATTAACATATTAAAAAATCTTGATATTTTTTTCTTTTCAAGAGGAAAATAAACTAAACATTAACTCTTGATATTAAAAAAAAAAAAAACAAAAAAAAGGAGGATTACTTTAAAATTTTATTCTTAAAAAGTATTTTTCAACATTATTAATGTGTCAGTGGCTAATTTCTTCAACTACAGTAATACACACAATGTTATTCCACTCACCTTATTAAATTGTTTCTTCGCAACTTTCTAAGCTTCCTGTTCTAGTGATTATTTAGACTGTTCGGCATGCTTAAATCTTATGTTTTGATCTATTCCAATCTTGAGAATTGCTTTTATTAAATTTCACTTTATTTAGTTGCTTCAGATCTGCTGCAGACAATCATTATTAGCAGTCACCATTTTGAATTCATAGTAAATGTTTTTCTATGAAGTATATTTTTCATTTGCATTTATTTAATGCTGGCATATTTTTTTCTTGATATCTGGCAACACGAGAAATGTGGAGAGAATTTATCCACATGTCCATTCAATTTTATTTATTTATATATAAAAGATAAAACTTAAGATGTTATTACTATCAGTAAATATTAATATATATGTTTTTTCAAGCACTTTATCATCACAGTTGACTCTCAAAAATCCAAATCATAACATGTACTTTAATCATAGCCATGTTCCAAAAATTCATTCAAACAAATCTTAAGCATTAGCAAATAAGACTACATATTAATAAATCAAACAATAATACAGATTTATGGTGGTTAAAAATAGATAAGAAGAAGAAGAAGAAGAGAATGAAAAATTCATTGAAGATTTCTGAGATACTTGTGATTCTAAACTGAATTATTATCTTAAATTTTCTGAATTTTTGAGAGCTAACTGCATTAGAATATGTCAAACATTAAGTACATTTAATTAATTTTGATGATGATGAATAATTCATAAAATAATATTAATAAAAAGAAATCCCTATTTTGTCTTTTAAGAAAAGTTTCAAAATTCAAATTAAGAAATCTGACACTTCAAATCATAAATACAAACAAAGCCTTGTATTATTAAATAAGTATTATTATTATTATTAAATACTAAAAAATTATTTATATCTCTTGTTGGAAATAAAAAGTATCTTTAACAATTCTTTTTCCAATTAAAAGTTAACATCAAAAAGTTTTTTGACTGTATAAAACAAACTTAATAAGTACTTTGTTTGAATTAATGTAACATGCAAAAATACAAACTGGAAAAATTCCCTGTAAAAACATAAGAATACTGTCTTGACAAAAAGCTAATAAACAATAAGAAGCAATTGATATTTGAATAAAATCTCTGTCAGAAAATTGAGGATTATCTATCTAAAATTAACAAAAAAATTCTCTGCCTTCTTTAAAATATTCAAAACTTAACTGATTTTTTCCTATCAGTTAATGTCTAAAATATAACAGAGTAGGATAGCTTAAAGACTATACTTACACAAAGAATAATTAAACATTTAAACTAATAAATATCAATACCTTTTGGTCCACTACCTGTGCTACCTGGTGAAGACAGGTCTGTACTTGGACTTGGTGTACTTGTCCTTGATGCTGGACTCGTTGAAGCATGATTAGAAATGCTTGTTCCTGAAGGATTACTACTTATACTTTTCTGATTTAGAAAAGGTGGTGGTGAAGGTCCCAGACCATTATGCAATGGAGAAGATACAGGCACCTGAGGACTTACAGAATCCTACAATACAAATTTAAATACATTATGAATAAAAATTCAAAATAAATTAAATAATAAATTGTCTTTTACAAAATATTGGCATATCAAATTAATGAATTTCATAAATCATGGATTATTATTTTATAAAATACAGTATAACCTCCAAATAGTGGACACCATTGAGACTGAAAACTTTGTTGCTATTTAGAAGTGAATATAATAGATGTCTTATTTAAAGGGTCTGGGGATTGTAAAAATGTCCATTAACAAAAGTTTCACTGTATACAGTATATTAAGTAATAACAGTCAAAATTAACAAAAACTTTGTTTATTTCCAGCAAAATAATTTACCAACATTTTTGACCTAATTCATGCACCCTCATCAAGCCATAGCTTAAAAATTCTACATTCAGAATTGGAATGTTTGAATAGAACATTCAAATAAAAATCATTGTAAATTGAATTCCAAACACTTTCCCATTCACTCTTCTAACAGAACAATAGTTATAAATATAAATACTACAATCATATATTCAGAACAACAACATATATAAAAATGTAACAACTAAAATAATAAACCCTGTCATTTCACTCACAAAAACAAGAATGATAGAACAGTTATAAATGCAAGTACAGTGGTGCCTTGTATAACATACTTAATCCGTTCCAGGTGCACGTCCATTAAGTGAAAAGTCTGTTATATCAAACGCATTTTACCATAGAAATATATGTTAAAACATATAATTTGTACTGCAGCATAAAATAACTGTACTGTTCCATTAAAAAAAGTGAAAATGGAGCAGTCACCAATTATGCAGGGTAGTGAGATGTTGTGAAAAGGTGGAGGAGGAACACTTTCTTTACACATTCATACAGATACAGACTTTTTACACATTGCAGCAGGTCTCTTTTTATTGTTTTTTAATCGGAGTCATATTCAGGAGAGGCTACCGGAGCTTACAGGGTCAACTCCTCTTGTTCCATCCTCTGTTTTATGCCTGCTGGCTTCTTGACAAACATGTCCAAGGTGGTCTGTTTCTCTTTCTTCTTCAACACCTGTCGGAAATGACGGGCAAGATCACTGATCTTGGTGGCCTCAGCTCTGTCTGGATAATGAGTGTTGGTAAATTCCTGAACCTCTCCCATTCGACAATGAAGTTGTTGTCAACTTTCACTCCTTCTGATGGTTTCTTGCATTGTTTCAATTGAAATCACCTTTCTGTTTTTTTAGAAGCCATGATTTGCATAACACTTGAATAAATGTAAATACCCTGCACTGAGGTGATGTGCGTAATAAACAAGGGAGCAAGCTGAATCCCAACGGGAGCTCTGTACTTTAGATATACTAATAATATATTCTAATAATACTAATATATTATAAAAATAGCAGATTGTCATTGGCAACGGAAAAGAGTGGAAACATCATTCGCACTTGTTCGCGGAAAGACAGTTGTTCACCTCACGTAACTCTGAACGGAAAGTCCGTTGTTCGAGTCACATAACGGCCAAAGTCTGTTGTTCACAGCGTCCATTATTCGAGGCATACATTATACGAAGCACCACTGTACTATTAGAAAAGTGGATAGTAATTTTTAATGTTTTAAATGTTGAGGAATTTGATTTATTACAACAATCCTTATTTGAATGTTCTATTTGAATATTCCACTAATAAAATTTAGAATTTTTAAGCTTTGGTCTGATGATGATCTACCAATTAAAACATTTGTAAATTAAAATATTTTACTGGAAGCAAATAAGGTATCTGTTAATTCTGATTATTCTGGTTCCAGTCTGGTTTTTACCTCAAGTAAAAGGTTTTGCCTAAGCATTTTTTGACTTGATATCATTTTCAACAACATACAGTACTTTAATGATAATAATGACAAACCACCACTGAATTAAATCAAGCTACTTTTCTGACAAGGAGAGCCTACGGCTTTGGGGTAACGAATTTTGATGATCTTTGGTGTAGAGGTAGTACACCATATGAGTGTACTACCTGTAAAATACTAAAGTGCAATACTCAAATATAATCGAGAAAATCGAACTTAAAGTTTTTTTAGCACTTTATATATAAATTATACATATTTCTATTCAAGCGTCCTGTGGCAGAGTGGCAACGAGTCTGATTCATAAGCTTGAATTCTCAGGTTCGATTCTCGAGTATAAATTTTTTTTTAAATTCATAAATACTTATAATGTATTCATTTATTTACTCATTCATTTATTTCTTATTATTTATTTATTTATTTTAATTTAATTTCTACTATTCCAAGTCTAATATTTTTATACTTTTGTTGACAATAACGGCACATTCTTGACACCTATGTGTCAACTTTCCCATCTAATTGTTATCACTAAGGTGACCGATCTAATTCTCACTAGGAGCGTTTTTTTTCTATCGGAGTTCTTTTTCACTTACTCTTTAACAGTTCGTTTCTAAATTTCGACACGAATAGACGTATTTGTGTAGTAAAACTTATTTTGAAAAATTATTTTATAATCAAAAAATGTCGTCAAGAGAAGCAAGTTCTTCACGTTGTGACGAAAAAACTGTTGATGATAACTCTTTATACAGTGATGTAAAATACTAACTTGTAAAGTGCAAAACTCAAATATAACCAAGAAAAACGAATATAATTTATTGAAGCAATATTATATAATTACATATCATTGTCAGATGTACATGATCGTGAATGATACTTATGATAAAAACATTCAAAACAAAAATTCTGTCTACACCAAGAACAACAAATAAATGCTGCTTTTTTAAAAGGTATCATCAGCAGTTTTTTCGTCACAACGTGAAGAACTTGCTTCTCTTGACGACATTTTTCGATTATAAAATAATTTTTCAAAATAAGTTTTACTACACAAATACGTCTATTCGTGTCGAAATTTAGAAACGAACTGTTAAAGAGTGAGTGAAAAAGAACTCCGATAGAAAAAACGCTCCTAGTGAGAATTAGATCGGTCACCGTTAGTGATAACAATTAGATGGGAAAGTTGACACATAGGTGTCAAGAATGCGCCGTTATTGTCAACAAAAGTATAAAAATATTAGACTTGGAATAGTAGAAATTAAATTAAAATAAATAAATAATAAGAAATAAATGAATGAGTAAATAAATAAATAAATACATTATAAGTATTTATGAATTAAAAAAAAAATTTATACTTGAGAATCGAACCTGAGAATTCAAGCTTATGAATCAGACTCGTACCACTCTGCCACAGGATGCTCGAATAGAAATACGTATAATTTATATATAAAGTGCTAAAAAACTTTAATTTTGATTTTCTCGATTATGTTTGAGTATTGCACTTTAGTATTTTACAGGTAGTACACTCACATGGTGTACTACCTCTACACCAAAGATCATCAAAATCCGTTACCCCAAAGCCGTAGGCTCTCCTTGTNATAAATCAAAGTGGAATTAACATCAAAATGAAATGGATAAAGGCCCATAGTGGCATATTTGGGAACGAGAGAGCGGACCTCCTAGCTAAGGAGGCGGCACACATGACTGACGTGACTCAAGGCAGGATCCCCATTTCGGGGATAAAGAGACTACTCAGAGACGAAACCATTGCAGAGTGGCAAGACAGATGGTCATACTCTCAGAAAGGAAGACACATGTTTTGGTTAATACCAAGCGTGGAAGAACGAGTCAAAGAACTCAATTGGCTCCCTATGGATCACATCAATTGTCAACTATATACAGGCCACGGGAATTGCTACTCATACTTAAAGAAAATCGGTAAAAGGCAATCAGAAGTATGCGATTGTGGTAGCGGCATTCAAGACATAAGTCATCTATTACTTAACTGTTACAAGTATGATAAAGAAAGGACAGAAATTCTAAGTCTTCATCATTTAAACACTGGAAATAATGACCTACAACTCTATAACCTCATCAGAGATAAGTGCCTCAAACATGACCTCAGGACCTTCGTGAGAAGGACACTTTTGTAAAGGTGATGGAGAAAGTCCTCTTCACCACCTATTGACCGGAAAGCTTCCGGCACATGCTTGTCAAGTTAGACAAGCAGGCTGTACAGTGTTATTTATGTATTTTATAACTTTTTACTCTATGTACTTAATGTCAATTTGTAATAATGTTAATTTTAATAAACGAAACGTCCTCCTTGTGATGTGAAAACGGGACAAGGATGATTCTGATCCCCGAAAGGGGAAATGATGACCATCAAAAAAAAAAAAAAAAAAAAAAAAAAAATGATTTAATACTTTTATTTCAAAACACTGCAATAAATTTTTCTTTATAATCATCAAGCATAAAATATAAAAATGGAAATTATAACAAACTAATAAAATATTTTTACAAAAAAAAAAAAAAAAACATATATTTAAGTTGAAGTAAAAGGGTAAATGTTTCCTCAATTTTTCTTTGAAAATCCATCAACTATTTTCAAATCATTATTGTTTAATACAAGTATAACAAACATCATGAAGCCTGATATGTACATAGAATCATCATCAAACAATTGCCTAAATAATTGGGTTATAACTCTACTCATTTTTAATAATTAATACTAAGTAATTTGCTACTTGAGGTAGATGTTAAGTGTCATCTCTTAACTAAATTAATAATTATAATTTTAATAAATTTATTAAATAATTTAGAACTATCTGGAAGAAAAGAACTGACCCAGGGTGGGGTTTGAACCTCCACTTGGTGTGCATGTCAGTTGCGTCACCTGAACCCCAAGCCATTTGCTTCCAAATGTATTTAAATTTAGATATAACCTGATTCAGGTTTAGTTAAAAGATAGCATGTAACATCTACTTCTAGTAGCAAATTACTTAGTATTAATTATTAAAAATTAGTGGAGTTATAGCCAGATTATTTAGGCAATTGTTTGATGGTGATGTTTAATACTTCTTGTTCTATATACAGCAGCATGATACTTTTTAACCTTTCTTCTGGTATCATACTTCTTAAAAAGAGTTTTAAAAAACTGCGTAAGACAGGAAAATATATTTCTCCCATTGAATTGGAAATATGGTAATAGAAATTATTTTAAAAACTTTATTTGAAAAAGTTGAAATTTTTCTTGCAACCTGATATACTTGTGCAGCAGTATTAAATTTGTTTTTACGTTCTTTTAAAAACAGTGTAAACTATTCCAATTTTTTATCAAAGTAAGTAATGTCTGTATTGTTTTTATAAATATTTAATTTTCTTTCTACATAGTTATTTTTTTTTCCTGTATTAGATAAGCTTAAATCAAGAATATTTTAAAAGTTTTTATATTATTCCTATATGTTTATTTCTATAAGCAAGTTTTGATATAACACTTTATAAATAACATTATCTATCTATATTCAGTTTATGGCTTCTGACATCATCTTCAGACCTCCAGGAACTCTCCCATATCTCTCTATCCATACACCATTCCTCTTTAATCCCTTTTTCACTACATGCTAACTTTACTCTGTCTTAAGTTTGTCTAGGTCTTCCTCTCTTTTTTCTTTTTTGTGGATTGTATTCCATTGACATTTTCGGGAGTCTCTCGTGTCATTCATTCTTTTCACATGTCCAAACAAAATAAGTTGTTTCCTCTTTATTTCTTCCAAAACCATCTCCTTCAATCCCATTAGGTCTTTGATTCTCTCATTAGTTATTCTTTCTCTTTTTGAGATTCTGCATGATCTTCTCAATGCATCCATTTCAACTTTTCTCTTCTCTTCCCCAGTCATTCTCCATGCCTCTGCCCCATATAACAGAATGCTTTTAACAATAGCATTATATATTCTGTTTTCCTTGATCTAGTTATTTCTTCATTCCACCATATTCCATTTAATCTTTTAACTGCTCTCTTACCTTGTGCTAATCTTGTATTAATTTCTAATGTATCTCTTTCATATTGATGAATTTGTATTCCAAGATAACTGTAATGTTCACATCCCTCAATCTTTTCTCTTCCTTCCAGTTCCATGTCTGTTTTAGCCCTTCCTATGCATAAATATTTTGTTTTACTCATATCTATATATAAACTGCCTTTAAAATATTCCTCTTTTATTTTTCTTGTCATGTACTCCAGATCATCAAGGGATAAATAACATAAAAAAAATTTAAAATGAAATTTTCTCATGATGAAAATAAATAATTTTCTTTATCATTTCTATTAAAAAAAGCTTTCCTTTTTTGTAGCCTATGCATTTATCCTGTTCCCCAAAAGTTAAAAATGTCATATAGTTGCTTCTTTTTCTACATAGAAAAAATTCACCACAGAATTGTTTAAAAAATATTCTAATTATGTGAAGGATCTGGTTTATTAAAATTATGTGCACTTGATTATAGTGATAGCATTTATTCTCTGTAAAATAGTGTTCCAAATTACTGTCATTAGTGTAATTTTATATTTATTCAGTTTCTTAAACAAAGATTTAACTTCCACTACAGTTATTTTTTCTGGAATTTGAAGCACAGATGTCAAATAAAGTCTCTCTTATATGAATATAAGCAATTTTTAGTGCTAGTATAATCCCACGGTTAAGCACACAGCCTTACTCTCATAACATCTGCTCTCACTGACCATCTGGTGTCAGATAAATTCTTTTTACTATTAAAGAATTTTCACACTTCAGCAGCTTTTTAATACAATTTGCCAGCAATGAGTAATCAGGAAAAAAAATAATTTTTCCACAAACATAAAATATTGAATATTGAGTTTATACATTCAAATTTACAATTGAAAACTAATAGATTAGTTGACAATTCATCAAATAGCAAAATTTAATCAATTGAATGTTGAAAATTGCTAGCATCAACTATTCAAAAACAAGTTGATTAAAATCTTAATGATCACAAAGACTGAAGTAAACAATTAAAGTATTAAAATTACTTGAGAAGCTAGATCCCAGAATAACTTGGTCTCTGCATTACTGTAATACAGTCAGAATTTCCAACAGCTGAGTTACACAAAAACAAAAGGAGTTTTGATTGCAGAAGGACACGCTGAAGCAGAAATTTTTCAAAGAATGAGTGCAATTGTATGTTGACTACTCTCTGGAAAAATCAATGAAGTAGAGAAATGATCTGCATAATATCTCTCCAGTCAAAGATCATTAAAGGACAATCATCATCCTAGCCAGTTGTATGCTTTCATTACAGAAGTGACCATAGCACAGATGAATGATTGCATCCAAGCTAACAGATGCATAATGGAGGATAAATTTGCAAATACTGTGATTATTAGTTATAGCAACAGCCACATCATTATTGGTCAAATTGCAAAGTGCATGCCCAATGGGTTCTTTGATCACTTATTGACAAATAGAAGGCAGAACATATCTGACTATGTCAGAAACATCTCATTTGCTACTGACAGGAAGGTGATTCACTCTTCCATCATATAATAGTAAGTGATAAGTCTTGATGTCACCACTACAAACTCATTCTCAAGACATCTTCATCCAGATTCCTATAGTACTAATAGTACATTAAATAAATTTTTAAAAATTAGGCTGAAGTTTCAGATTATTTCATTATTCATTCATGTATTTCCAAAAAACACATCATATTTAATAGACATCATCAAATAAACTATATATTGATTCTGACAACAATTTTAGGAATTCTCTAAAAGCTAATGGCCTAAAATAAAATAATTTATTAGTCTATGGTAATAGCCTAATAAATAGTCTAGTAATAAATAATATTAAAATTATAAGTTATATTATATATAACATCTAATTTAGCTATGATATACATTAATAAAACTAGAATTTTATAGATTAAAAAAGATAATTCTCCAGTTAAAAAACAAATAAAAATAGACTAAACAATGATCAGTGTTTCCATTGTCAATTACCATATATTCATATATAAACATCCCAAAAACTGAATGTATTAATAAACCAACCAACAATCACTCAAATTAATCAGGCAGAAATTGTTAGTTAGCATAATTTCTATTCAATTAATTTGGCTGTTGGTTGGCCATTTTTTTCATTTTTTGAATGTCAAACATATAGTGATAACAGTTTAAAATTGAAAAGTAACAAAAGCATGTGCCACTTGACTGATAGGTCCCAAATACTATCATCAACAACACAGAATACTTCTATATTTTACTGCAAAAAAATAAGAGACATTTTCAATATCGCCATCTCTTGGAAAGAAATAACAAAAATCATAATTAAATTTTAGTATATTAAAAAATTAATCAATTTTTTTTTATACAGTCGACCCCCTATAACATGCGTTCCTATAACGTAGCGAAAAAATTGTAGCAACATACATATAAAGGAGCTCCTAAAACATTGTCGCCGACTCGTTTCGTGACAAGATTGATAGAATCTGGACCAATAGTGGATGAGCAGCCGAACTACTTTCCTCCGCCCTGCGTCACGCTATGGAGTGGCTAAATTGAGTTTGCTATCGTCTGTACAGTATTATATATAAATTAGGTACTGTACATATAATTATATATTAACTTAATTTATTGTAACTTTATTATAATTATATATATACTTCCCGCCGTCCAGCGCCACGCTACGAAGAGTTTAGGCGAGTAAGTTGAGTTTACTATCGTCTGTACAGTATGTAAATTAGGTACCGTAAGTCTAATACAGCACTAATTTTATACATTTCTTGTGAAAGAAACATTTCTTATTCAACGGCCATAAAAATTATTTATATTAATGATGTCTCCAGAGGTCAAGTTATTTTTCTGCGAAAAATTCGTTATCAGAAATCGCGGCCGCCGTTTCGTGTGCTGTTCCGCGACGAAAACAAGCTTTGAGCAACGGCGTAATCGAACGGTGCACACTCGATAAGTAATCCTACAATTTTTTGTTTATAGCATAGTTTATACGGATTATTCCCAAAAAATTATATGTGTTTTGGAAATGTTGAGTGGAATTACTCTAGAATTAGTTAATTTTATAGAAGAAAACCTTTCAAACAGCCTTAGTCCGTAAACTTCACATCTATCGGGCTGCGATTGGCTCATGTATTTAATCATTCCTACAACGTAAAATTCAATTAACATGGAACGTATCTAAGCGTTATAGGGGAGTCTACTGTATTACAAAATGATGAAATAGCTATTTATATACAGAAATCTATATAGAAACTGAACATCCTATTAACATAGTAATACAAGTTGATGGTAACATTTTATTTTTTAAATAAAATATTGGGTTGTTTGAAAAGTAATTTCGTTTTTTTTTTTTTTTTTTTTACCACTAGACGGATTAGTTGTATTTTTCCTGCCATTTTCATTCTAAACTGTATTATCATTATGTATTGTAAAAAGAGAAGACACTGAGGTCGGCGTTACGTGTGCGTTTTTTTTAATCGCTAGTACTTTCGACGAACATATAGTCGTCATCATCAGGTGAATACGAAGATTTACCAAAAGAATTAAACGGAAATAATCTGAGTTGGAATAGAACGCTTAAATTTAAGTTGAAACTTTAGTCAAAGTCGTTAGGAACATGATAGAAATATTCAAAAATGTTTGAAAAACAAACGAGCAGAAAGCTCCATGATGTGCGAATATGCGCATGCGCAGATCTAGACACACACTATACGCATTCTGGAGAATGCTAATTTTTACTTAATTGCTTGTATAGTGTGACCCATACACTGGGCAGCTCAAGAGTTGGAATGTTGCACGTGTCCAAGGTGGTAGTAAGAAGAGACTCCCATATGAAAACGATTTTTCGATCCTTACAGCTCTTGAGCATAACCGCTTGGGACCATAGTGGGTTGTAACCCTGCTCAAGTACTTTTCTTGCGAGCTCGGTGGTGTGTCTACCCTTCGCAACATCGTTTTGGTGCTCACCTGATGACGACGACTATATGTTTGTTGAAAGTACTAGCGATTAAAAAAACGCACACGTAACGCCGACCTCAGTGTCTTCTCTTTTTACATTATGTATCTTGACAGCTAGCATTTTAAGGTTTATTTGTAAAACATTTTGTTTGATTTTGTGCAATTGTTTATTTTTTGTGTCCCATCAAATATGGAAGATCGAAAGCAGCATTTTTGGCAATTTTGCTCTTTTGTTACCGAAAAGGCAAGAATGCTGTTCAAGCAAGAAAAAAGTGTGACGTGTGTGGAGATGATGTATTGACAGAACGACAGTGCCAAAACTGGTTTACAAAATTTCGTTCTGGCAATTTCAGTATTGAAGATGCACCACGTTCTGCATGGCCAGTTTAAGCCAATGAAAGCAAAATAAAGGTACTGATTGAAGCAAACTGCCAAATAACAACACGTGAAATCACTAAGAGATTAAATTTGTCAAATTGAACCGTTTATGATTACTTGAAATAAATTGGTTTTGTTTCAAAGCTTGATATATGGGTTCCACATGTTTTTAAAGAGAGATGTTCTCTTTAAGAACATGTGGAACCCATATATCTTTAAGGAATTTTTTTTTTTTGTTTTGGAGCTTTTACCAGACAATTTAACAACTGATTCGAAAGTGTACTGCCATCGAGTAAACAAACTGAGTAATATCATCAAACAGAAAAGGCAGCCAGAATTGATCAACAAAACAACTGTAGTGTTTTACCATGATAATGTCAAATTTCACACAAGTTTGGTAACTCGTCAGAAATTGTTATAACTTAGATGGGACTTGCCATCACACCAACCATATTTACCAGATTGAGCACACTCAGATTATTACTTGTTCTGGTCTATACAAATTTTTTTTAACTGTAAGACATTTACTTGAAATTACAATGTCAAAAATCACTTGGATCAGTTTTTTGTAAGCAACGATCAAAACTTTTGTAAATGTGAAATCATGCCACTACCAGAAACGATGACAACAGGTATTTGACCAAAATGGTCAATATATAATTCAATAAAATATTTATTTATTATAAAAATATTGTGTTCTTCCCCAATGGAAAAAAAACAAAATTACTTTCCGAACAACCCAATAGAACAAAAATAATTTATATAATGATGCATAAATTACATGAATTATAACCATGTATATTATATCCTCAGGATATGTATTTCATAATAATTTTAATTATTATTCATGAATGGAAATATGAAAGTACGATCAAATGAAAACAAAAATTCTACAGATACAGTAGAGCATTGATTATCCAATCCCCGATTAACCGTCACATCAGTTAACCGACCATTCTAGTCGGCAAATTCAAATGTCTGCTAGTGATGTGGCGCTACAATATTTGGCTATGTCTTGGTTACTTTAATACTACTTTTATGTGTTTTAGCTGGCAACACTGGCTCAACCATGAAAGGGAGCTAGTATTTTAACAAGGCTTAATTTTCTAATTTTTAACGATACAATAGAGACGATTATTATTTTAAAAATATTTTTGTTAGGCTTAACATCGATGAAAATTCAATGCAAAGTAGGTTAATAGCGATATACTAATATACTAATTACATAAGATACACTAATAATGTATTTTTTCATATTTTTCGGTTATCTGTTTTTTCAGTTATCCGACCAACCCCAGTCCCCAATTGAGTCAGATAATCAATACTCTACTCTATTATTATTGAATTTGAAACTTACTTATAATGTTCATATTTTGAAATTCAATTGCAACAAAATGAATCTGATATTTTCAATTCTCAAAAAATAATTATCACTTTCTACATGAATTTACAGAATTTGAAAGCAAGCATATTATGAGAACAATCCAGCAAAAACAAGGATAATGATCACTACAGTCACAACATAATGTATTTAATTTTGTAGGTCCTTCCTTTTTTAAAATTAAGTGAAACTCTGTTCTTTTTTGATATTAACACATCCAGTTCTTACACCTATTAATAAAAATTTTATCTTAAAAAAAAAAAAAAAAGTAAAACCTGAAATGTTTTTTTTAGAAAATTTTCTAACTTAGACACAATTTTAGGGATTTTTAAAATATTTTTTAATAAATATATCATTTTATTGCATCCAAATGTAGCACAAATTCTGCCAATCATATTTCTCATAATTGTCAACAATATGAAATTACAGTGGGTGATCGGTTAACGAACACCTCACAGAACAAACACAAGAAGAAGAGATGTAAAATAATGAATACTGATTGGTCTTCCCTTGTCTTCAGGCAAGAATTTGAAACTTTTCGGAGTGCAGGAGACATTGACATCAACGCTCAACTCAGTATATACTGATCGGATAGTATTCCTCCGAACTTTGAAACTCTCCTTTGTAATTCCAGCCCTTTATTTTTCTGACAGAAACAATTATTTTATAGTATTCACAAAGCTGTTGGGAAAGCTCTCATTAAGTTTTGTGTCAGTTTTTATTTTTGAAAGGTGAGAGTATAATAGCAAAGGTAGAGTGTGGGCAGAAGATGTCTGATGTTGCTTGGCAGTATGGCATGAACAGATCTACAGTAGGCTGCAGTTCAATCTTATCTAAGAAAGATACAGTATAATTGAGAAGACTCAAGCAGCTTAAGGAGTAACAAAAATCACATCTGAGAAATAAAAAACATTGAATAGCTCATAATAAAACCTGAAACAGATCTGACGACAGAAAAACGCCAAGAACTCTTGAATGAATAACACCAAGACACTCGGCAAGATGTTTTCTTCTGAAAAAGAGGATTAATTAATGCCAAAATCTGTTATTAAATATCTTTTGAAGAAGTGGGAGGATGTCAGAACAATGGTCTTAGAATGGCATCCAAACCAGGTTGAAGTTAATAGGCTTAGGAACCTCTACAATTACAATGCTATTAATTACTTCTGAAAAATACTAAAGAAGAGAGAAAAGCAATCGGCATTAGACAGATTCTTTAATCCCCACAAACGAAAAAAACATGACTAACAAAAATGCAAGACTGTGTACAGTCGACCCCCCTATAACGTGGGTTCCTATAATGAAAATTCCTATAATGTAGCGAAAAAATTGCGGCAGTATTTGTATAAAGGGACTCGTAAAACGTCGTCGTCGACTCGTGTCGCGACAAGATTGGTCGAATCTGGACCAATAGTGGATGAGCAGCCGAACTATTTTCCGCCATCCAGTGCCACGCTACAGAAAGTTTAGGCAGGTAAATTGAGTTTGCTATCGTCTGTACAGTATTATATATAAATTAGGTACTGTACATATAATTATATATTAATTATATATAAATTAGGTACTGTATATATAATTATATATTAACTTAATTTATTGTAACTTTATTATAATTATATATATGCTTTCTGCCGCCTGGCAACACGCTACGGAGATTTTAGGCTAGTAAGTTGAGTTTACTATCGTCTGTACAGTATGTAAATTAGGTACCGTAAGTCTAATACAGCACTAATTTTATACATTTTTTGTGAAAGAAACATTTCTTATTCAAGGGCCATAAAAATTATTTCTATTAATGATGTCTCCAGAGGTCAACAAATTTTTCACAGAGAAATAATTTATCAGAAAATGCGGCCGCTGTTTGGTGCGCTGCTCCGCGACGAAAACAAGCATAAGCAATGGCGTAGTTGAACGGTGCAGACTCGGTAAGTAATCCTACAATTTTTTGTTTATAGCATAATTTATACGGATTATTCCCAAAAAATTATACGTGTTTTGGAAATGTTGAGTCGAATTAGTCCAGAATCGGTTAATTTTATAGAAGAAAACCTTTCAAACAGACTTAGTCCGTAAACTTCATACGTGTCGGGCTGTGATTGGCTCATGTATTTAAGGATTCCTACAACATAAAAATTCTTATAAAGTGGAATGTATCTAAGCGTTATAGGGGGTCTGGGAGTCTACTGTATATATATTTTTATTTACAAACACCGTTAGACCTGATACATAATATAGCTAAACACCAACCAAATGCTGAAATTCTATTGGGCTAGTTTAAGGATAATTACTAAATGAATTACATAACCAATTTGGCTCTAGAGGTAAGCATTAAGTGCCGTTTTCTCCGAGCAGTTCTAAATTATTTTCATTAATTAATAATTATTAATGTTAATACGAGGTAGTGCCTAATACTTACCTCTAGAGCCAAATTGGTTACGTAATGTATTTTTATTATTATATATAAATAAACGTAGTAAGAAAGTGTATAGTTTTTATTTTTTGGAGTCTCCAGAACAAATTAATCAAATTCCCATAAAAACCTATGGTAAATTGATAATCGGTTAACGAACAAAGTCTTGGAATGGTTTATGTTCGCTAACTGATCATCCACTGTATTTACACAAATCATGCATTTAACTCTTAGTTGCCATATATTTATTATTTTTGTGCACTAAAAGGTGCTGAATTGCTTGTTGCAGACTTTTCAATAGCATGTCCTACATTGCTTTTATTGTATTTGTGGACACCATTCCTTCCACTTCTTTCTAATGTTACTATGATAAGCTTTTGGCTGCTTTGAGAAGAAAATTGCTGCTATGACACCCAAATTGCCTCTTATAAAAATGCTTGACATTATTTTATAATGAAGTCATCTATATTTATAACACATTATAACAGTCTTCTTCTCAACTTACAAACCTTGTGAACAAAAGGCATACCACCGCCCCGTCCACGTATGCTACACAGAAGTACATGCAGACCTCCAGAACACCAGATTAATTAGGCAGACCTTTCAAACAGACCATATCTGTAGCCTGGAGGCATGGGAAATTTATAAAGCAACTTGAAAGGCAACTGTATTAACTTTAAAAAGACTGCTAGATGGTGGTGCATGCGTGGAAGCACCTGCACAAGAAATTCAAACAAAGTCAATCAACCGCACGAATCTAATATATTCAAAGTTTAAAGTCGAGCATCATTGTTCTAACGTTCCAATTTTTGGAAGTCAGTTTTGTTAAACACCTGAGGCAGGTCTTGGTGAAGGCCAAAATGTTCGAAAATTACGTTAAAGTTCAATTACTGGCTAAAAAAGTTGTGTGAGATAGTTTATTTATTATACATGTAAGAAAATAGCTTTTTTTATGTACCATATATATACAAATTCATATCTACTTGGAGAAAATTAATAAATTTCAGAGGAAACATTTAATAATTTCATATTATTATTATTATTATTATTAAATACTAAAAAATTATTTATATCTCTTGTTGGAAATAAAAAGTATCTTTAACAATTCTTTTTCCAATTAAAAGTTAACATCAAAAAGTTTTTTGACTGTATAAAACAAACTTAATAAGTACTTTGTTTGAATTAATGTAACATGCAAAAATACAAACTGGAAAAATTCCCTGTAAAAACATAAGAATACTGTCTTGACAAAAAGCTAATAAACAATAAGAAGCAATTGATATTTGAATAAAATCTCTGTCAGAAAATTGAGGATTATCTATCTAAAATTAACAAAAAAATTCTCTGCCTTCTTTAAAATATTCAAAACTTAACTGATTTTTTCCTATCAGTTAATGTCTAAAATATAACAGAGTAGGATAGCTTAAAGACTATACTTACACAAAGAATAATTAAACATTTAAACTAATAAATATCAATACCTTTTGGTCCACTACCTGTGCTACCTGGTGAAGACAGGTCTGTACTTGGACTTGGTGTACTTGTCCTTGATGCTGGACTCGTTGAAGCATGATTAGAAATGCTTGTTCCTGAAGGATTACTACTTATACTTTTCTGATTTAGAAAAGGTGGTGGTGAAGGTCCCAGACCATTATGCAATGGAGAAGATACAGGCACCTGAGGACTTACAGAATCCTACAATACAAATTTAAATACATTATGAATAAAAATTCAAAATAAATTAAATAATAAATTGTCTTTTACAAAATATTGGCATATCAAATTAATGAATTTCATAAATCATGGATTATTATTTTATAAAATACAGTATAACCTCCAAATAGTGGACACCATTGAGACTGANATTTCTGTTGTCCATTTCATCTGTTGGCGTGGTTTTCCAGCCTTTGTGGTCTGTGGATGCATTGCCACAGAAACACCAAGGCTAGGTTGATTCCTCACTTCTGTTGAGGGCATTGCAGTAGCCATGCTTGGGCCAGTGCTGCTTTCGCCACCGGTAACCAAGGGAGACTGGAGCCTATTTTTCAAACGTGAGGCTCTGCCTAACCCACGAACGCGGACCTTGTTAATCCGGGCGACGTCCGAGCCGGTATCATACTTGGATCTGGTTACTACCATAATGATTATCTCCACAGAATGTGGGTGTGTGGTCACTCTTAGCTTCATTTCTCCCCATAGACCTTACTGGCATGGGTGTCCCTACCAGGAGCTTGTGCTCCAGCCTGCATTGCCCTATGGATCTGTAAAACTACTGGGCTCTCCCACCACGACCAGGTGGTGACCACGGGAGAGTTATTATTATTATTATCATATACTCTAATTATTGAAGTAATAAAAAAAAGTAGAAAAATGCTAACATTGATTATGTTTTCTAAAATTATCTATCAACAGTATATATAGGGTGTCCATTTACACATCTTTCTAGCCTTGGTAAGGACAGGTTATGGATTGCAGCAGGCACAAATAAATCAGATATTGTCACCATGACATGCACCCATTTCACTGCTATCTACAATCAGCAACATGCAGAAGATGCCACAGTGCCATACAGCAATTTGAGTGGAACATGTTAAATGTTAAATTCACAGCATGACGAACCACAACTGTACCATCCAAAGGTTAAAGGCTCCATTTCTATAAAAATTGAAAACCAAGATATGAATTTGTCATCATGCTTTTATTTAGTATCCTTTATCAATATTGCCAAATATGTTCTGTACTGAAGGATGTGCTGAACACCTCACAAAAGGATGTGCCCCCAATATGTTCTGTACTGAAGAAATGTGCTGAAGGAGTTGTACTGCATGAAATACATTTTTCATGCAGTACAACTTCTTCAGCACATTTTATGGACTGACAAGGAACTATTTTCCCCAGAATGGAATGTGTAACCATCACAACATGCACCACTGGAAAGTGTACTCCATGTTTGCATGCAACATATGTGATACCAAGTCTATTTTACCTTAAAACATGGTGTGAAATTTGGGGTGAGCAGCATCTTAGTGATTAAATGCACAATAGGTTAATGATATGGATATACAAATGATCAAATATAATGAAAATTCCAATCATCATTAAATCAAACACTATTAACCTAACTAATGTATCATTGCTAATCTAAACCACTCCTACATTGCATTCATGTTATTCAGCAATGCACTGCTACCTGTTATGTGTTGTGCAGCAAAGCATTCACCTGTCATATTTGACAGAATATTCTAGGATCCCACAATATTTGGAATGCATTAAAAGATGATAGTATGTAGTTTTCATGTGATGCAACTTCATAATTGACAATATTGCACTATTTACATTAGATGCTGAGATTACAACAACCTCCTTTAATAGAAGGCTGGAAAGATGAAAATTCACATCTCTATTTAGCACAAGCCAGATATAGTATACATTGGAAAAAGACTACAGTGACTGCACTATTACTTTTTCAAATATTGGTCAGGGAGAAATTTTTGTTACAACTCTGATTATACACATCCCATTTAGGCTTTAGCAAAAATCTAGACATTTTCAAGCTTTGAGCTCATTCAGATTTATCACTTAGTCAAAAACTCTAACATACAAAACTTTCAGCCAATTTAACATAGGGCCAAAACCTATAAGGATTGTGCAGTCCTTTTTGTTAAAAATTTTTTTACTTTGTTATTTCGTCAAATTTTTGTGAAACTTTGCCACTATTACATTCTGCACATCCAAAACACTTGTTAATAATAAATATCATATTCAACAGCAAAACATTGATTTAACAGAGCTGTAATACTTGAAAATAAACTATTACAGAAAGTTAAATCTATAGAAATATAGTTTATGAAACTTCGGTCGACTATTTCTAAATTATTATTATTATTATTACATATAGAAGTAAAATACTTACTGAGCGTAAAAGTGGGCTTGTAGTTGCAGAAGGACTTGATAATGTTTGAGGAGATGTATGATTATTAATTCCTCCATTATTTGAGTTCCCATTTCCTGAACTTTCTAATAGTAGGCCCATGTTTAAAGCATGAGTAACAGTCGCTGTATGATTAACAATCATTGTTGGTTTACTAGTACTAGGTTTACGAATTTTTGTTTTACTTTTGGCACTACTCCACACTGGACCAGTAGTACAAATAGTAGTAACATTGTTGTTTGGACCAGACACTGTTGTAGCTATATTTGAACTTTTATTGCTACCTTTACAATTTATTGAATTTCCAAGTTCTGTTTCACACCCACTTGTATTTTTTTGTAACTGTGAAAGTTGTAATCCTGCAGCACCAACTGTTATTCCTAGACCACTTGGTGTTGCTAGAAGTGTTGGCATTGCACTGCATGGCCTACTGACTGTAACAGAATGTAAAAGAGCACTAGTAACTGGCAACTGACCATTTAATATATCAACCCCTGTAACCACAACACTATTACTATCTTTTGTTCCCCTATTTGATGTTCCACTTTGTAAAGTTGCAGAAACATTCTGACTTCTAACAACTGCAGGAGATAATGCAAGATTGTTGCGATTAGTTACGAGATGAGTCGATACCTGAAGTTGTGATAGAGCTCCTAAATGGTCTCCTATAGTGAGAGGAAGAAGGGGTATTTGTGGAGGCAGAGCAACAGCACTTGTTGTTGATTGAAAGGTAGACACACTAGATGTTCTTGCCACATTACTTCCACCATTTGAACTTGATGTCAATAAAGTGTTTCGTTTCTTCTTCGCGGAGTTATTATTATTAGTAGAACCATTTCTATTTGCATTAAATGTCTTCTCTCTTATTTTAATTTTATTGGATACAGATTTAGAATGTGGTGGTTTGGACCCAGTTGTTATTGATGAATTTGATAATGATGATTTATTATTCACTGATATTGTAGGACGGGATAACCCAGAATGAATAGGTGAAGAAATAACTGTCTTCATTTCTCCCATCACTGCATTAAGATTTTTACAAGGCTGTGAAGAGGCAGGCTCAGAGCAACTAAAACTATATGGATCACTAGGATCAACAGGTTCTGGAACTGGTGGTAACCTCGATTCTACACACAATTTTCTGTAACAGAAAAAGAAAAGATTTTTAATGCTTGATATTTTCATTAAAAGAATAACAGTACAAATTTATATTAATTACTGAATCTAATTTTTCATTTTATATGTTTTAAAAAATATTGTAAAATGATAAACTTATTTCATATAACACTGTATCATTGTGCCCAAAATCTTCTTGTCCAGGCATCATACCATATACACTACACAAAAATGTGGAAACATTAGACTTAACAACAGCACCTACATTATATTACAGAAAGCAGTCACACTAATACATGCCATATAATTAGGAAATTCTTAAACAGAGACAAATTACATGATTTTTACACAATAACAAAGTTTTCTTATAGCCATGCCTTAATCTTGGTCTACCACCATCAGGCAAATCAAGTGTAGAATGGCAGAAAACAATTTTGAAAATGTTGGAATAGAACATATCTTTTATATTTTATGCTTTTATTAATATTTACAATGTAAATTATAATTATTATTCATAATATAAATATTTTGTATTTACATCATATATAAAGACAAAAACTATAATGTACTGTACATGGAAGCCTCTCTTTTATGATACCATGTTTGCCAACATTCTCCTAATCAAAAAGAGTTTTTAGATTCAACAAGTTTGACACATAAGGAAAACTACGCATTTGGCAGTTTGCAACTTAGCACTAACTGAAATGAAACAATATCTTTCATTTCAACTACTACTATCACCTCCAAAAACAGTCCCACTGGGCTCATCCTTATCTGCCATTTTTTTCAGAATTAATAATTCAAACAACAACAACAACAACAAAAAAAAAAAAAAAAAAGGTACAGCACTTTCCTTATTCCCTATCCCATTCCTTATCCTGAGATACAAGAGATACCTCTCGTATCTCAGGAATACATGATGACAAACTTTTCGCCTGAGAGGTCTTCCCAGACAAATTAAAACAATTTGTGAACTTTCCTCATCTTACATTTCCATCAAATTCACTATTGAATGAGATAATGAAGCACTAAGAATCTCTTTTCTGAATATAAGAATAAAAAGATTAAACTCCACTCTCTTCTTTGGCATTCATCATAAATTCAATAGAATCACAATAGTTATCTCAGCCAGCTTCTTCCAGCTGGATAGATAGTGGCATTTTTCCAGCTTCTTCCAGCTGGAAAAATGCCACAATTCACCCATCCAACCAACAACAAATCATGGAGAAATTAAAGTTTGTCATTACTGCTACTACCAGCACTGGTTACTCCTTAGCAAAATTTAAAATTCCAAACCACAGAATATTATTTTTCTTTTTCCTGTCTCTACTGTACACAATAAGAGAGCACATGGAGTGTCTGGATGTAACAATTCCTTACTTAGACAATATATCCTTAACAACCTACATATGTTCAATTATATTCTCCCTATTAGATCACATTGTAATCTATTAAGATTATTTTGTAATGACACACTCATAAGCAGCACTGGAGAGGTAGGGTTTAAGATCCCTTTAAACACAACATCTCAAGTGCTTGAACACTATATAGGGGCAACTATAAGAATGTTGTCACATTGTCTCAAAGAACACTAGAAACCAATGATTTTTCATGTAAGGCAAGATTGTCCCTGTCATTGCACAACAACCTACACAATGTAGGCTGGGAAACAATTGGTAAAATAAAGCCATGAGATCTAAAGACATAGGCTATGCTTAAGATAAAGAACCCACCAAAGGAATTGGGGAGTGAGCAATGCAGCAATTGTCTTTGGATATATTGACTTCTTGACACAGTTAAAGAGATATCTAGACTTGAATGGGGAATACCCTGTCCTGCATACTATGAAAGAAATAATCTGTAACTCTTTGTTTACATATGCTTGGATGGATGGATGGATGGAACTAAGAATATTCTATGTATGAGAGTGGAAATGGCAGAATTTACAAAGGATGGGAGCTGGAAAGCAGTAGCAGGGACAATATGTGGCAACATACCAGCCTTGTAGTTGACAGAAAACACAAGCCTAGTAGGTAATCTGTGTATAGTTAAGACTAAAAATGGTATCTCTGCACCTTGTTCTTGCTATATAGAAAAATTAATTGTGGAGTAGACAGAAGATAACATGTCTATAAAGACATACAACTCTTCCACAGTGCCATCCCATGCAAGCAAGACATCATCTACATAAAGTAGATATAAGAGTAGGTAGCAAATAGCTAGCAGGGAGCTAAAAACTCTAAACTCAACATTCCTCATGATGAGCTCCACAATAAAATATATTGTTAAATTGAAAGTAATTATTTTCTGTTATAATAAAGCACAACATGCTCCAGGTTGGGGGTTGTGCATGGGGCTAACAACCCCATCATATAAAAAAAGAGAATGGTTATGAAACAGCCACAAGAAAACAGGATTGTGACTGTAGTTAAGGGCCTCCAAGGCCCTTAATGCCAGATGAAGAAGATAATAAAGAGCACTTTCCTTAAATCTAATACCTGCAGAGTAACCAGCCTTGAGGAGTAAGCATTTGTAAGTATTAATGCATCAAAATGTGGTAGTGACAGATACAAATTAAAATATATGCTTCTAATGCTGTTTTTAGCATGTTTCTCTTATCTAACATTCCTGGTGTAAAGTGTATGTTATTTTATCAATTACAGTAGAGCCTCGAAAACTCGGCCTAATGTGGACCGAAGGGTGGCCGAGTTTGTGAAAATGCCGGGTTATCGGGAATTGCGTTAAAAAAATAAGTACGAGTGTGGAGTCCTCAGAAAATACTGTACTATACTTGTATGTATTGTGTGCTTGAGAATACAACAAAGAATAAACTGCTCAAATATCCTTAAACAAAGGAAAAGTACGTCTTTTATGAAGGCATAGAGCCTTTACTACATGAAAATAAAAATTAATGAATACACTGTACAGTAATTTACCTGATAAGACAGACCTTAGAAAAATACTTATGGGGCATAAAGCTGTCTTTATCATGAAAATTAATTAACTAAGGATATTTTGCCCTGCCAGGGTGTGGCCGAGTTATCGAGTGCCGAGTTTTCGAGGCTCTACTGTACTAAATTAGTACTGACTGCTTCCTTTGAACCTCTTTGGGCTGAAGCTCAACTATTAAATCAACTTCCTGTTCTCCTTGTGGGGGACAGGAAATTGATTTACATATGGAAGACTATGCATCTTAAACAACCAAATGTGCAACAATCCCACATTTGAAGTACTCAAACATTGGGTGGCTCTCCACAAGATACTGTCTTAATGACCTCTTAGTAGTACTTTTCTACATCTTATATTACATTTTATTGATATATCTTTATCCTTATATAGTTTGCATTGTAAATATAAAGTATATGAAAGATTTGATACATCTTTTGTTTTTATTTATATTACAAATAAAATTTATAATTTACATTACATTTTACACTTTTATTAATATTTATGTGCAATTTGTTATATTTTAATCTTATATATATTCTATTCTGACATTTTCAAAATCTGCTCTCTTCAATTCTATGTTCAATTTACCAGACGGCAGTAATATAGTATTTTCCAAGAGTGCTTGCATATTTTGATGTATTGTGAGTTTTATTTATTCATTAAAAGCTGTTTTAACATTCTCAAAATGTTTCTCTCCTTATTATTGTCATTTTATATTAATATATACCCATTTCAAAGCATTTTTATTACTAGCAAAAATTTTACATTCTACAGATAATAAAAACTATGATAGACAGTAATTTATTTTACATTAAAAATTAAAATTATTTGAATAAATATATACAGAAAACAATTGTACTTTAAAGGTGGAGGATGACTTGCTCTTTCTGTATGAACAGCTGCTCTGAATGCTGCTCGAGGTAAATCCCATCTTCTGTCCAAAAGAAATAAGCCATCACCTAACTGACGAAGACCAAATGTGCATAACTGAAAAATAAAATACAAACTTACAAATCAGTAAAACCATAATAAATAAATTTCCAATTGAGATAAACTTTAAAATTCTCTTAATCTTTAAGCAGAAATTAAGAACTTTGGAACTTGCAAGCCAAAGCTATGAAAAATTAAGTTCTTCATTTTTAATTTTAAGAGAATATCTATTTTGTAGGATTAAAAATAGATAAAATTTGACAAAAAACTTCTTACTCAAAATCACAATTATTACCAGATATTTTGATGTATATTTCAAAAGATTTTTTTGGACACAACACTTATTAATTTTATTTTAGAAGATATCTATCGCCATAAAATTTAAATCACAAACTCAGATATGCAAAAATTCTAAAAATTTATCTGTAATTGTCAAAAGATGTATGACAAATGTAATCGTAGACAAACTATATTAATAACTATTCCTATTTGAAACTTCTTAAATTATATTTAAATAAAATTATATCATGAACATACTGCAGCAGGCCTTGGATGATGAGATATATGGTGAGAATCTTGTGTAGAAATCTTTGGGGCACTTGTTTCTGATGCACATTCCTGTAGTCGTTGTTGAATGTGAGTTTCAGAAGGTGGCACTGGAGGCTTTGTTAATTCTCCACTATGTGATGAAGGCCTAAATAAAATGATTTTATATATTCAAAATAAAATTTGAAATGATATTAGAAATATCATCAAATGAAAAATCTAAGTAGATAAGTTTTCCAAAATTATTTATTATCCAAAAAATAAAAAGAAATGATGATAATAAAAACAGTTAAGTTGTTTTTCCTTCTCATATGAAATTTTTTGAAAAAGATTTTAAAGCTGCTTTTAAATTTTAAAACATATCAACCTTTTCTTATTGCATGTCACATTCAACCCTAGATATTTTTCAAAGTTATTACGACTGGCTTATTTTTTTCTCAAAGTTCACTTAACATTTTTTTTAATAAACTGTAATTATTAACTTCAACAAGAAAAAACATGGCCAATATTATTTAAAATCTCTAAGTTCTTTAAACATTATAAAGATGTATTTTGGAAATAATTATAAATTGTTAGGTATATCAAGATTTAAAATACATTAAAAATCTCTTTAAAAACAGAACTTAGTTTGTGTGTGATTAAAGACTCATGTTTTAGTTTGTTTTGTGATGAGTTTAGAAAGGCTTATAACATTGTGTGTGTGTGCGCGCGCGCGCATGGACAGTTTATTTATTATAACAACTAATTATTATATATTATTTCTGAAATCATTAATCTAAGCTAAAGAAAGATTCTGTGAATCTTATGTTTAAAATATTACATATTACAATTTATTTTGTAAATATGAAACAGTTCTATAATCTCCACTTCCAAAGGAAAACCTATGAGCATTTTCTTGAATACTAGGCTTACTTTCATTGGCAAAATTTTGATAATTTATATATATGGCGGTCTATTAGAGGTCTTAAAATTGACTAAGAATTTTAATGTTTTAATCACCCTGAACAGAAATGAAGTTGAACCTTCAGATTATCAGTTTTAACGTAATAATAATAAATACATTATATTATTTATTATTTAATTAATTATTATATTATCATTTAATATAAATCTTGGGGTAACATACAATGTTTATCTTACAACATTTATGAAGCTAAGCAAATTTGTTTTTCATAAGACATTTTCATAAATTTGTTTGCAATCAAAACATAACCCAATCCTTAACTTACACATACAATAATACAAATTATACATATGATCAAATGATAAGGCTGAGTTAACTACTGAGCCCCAATAGTTAATCAGACCTTATCATTTAATCATTAGAATAATTTTTGCTGATTATCTCTATCTAATCAGATATATCACTCTTCTAATCAATAAAAATATTAAAATTACATTAATAACATGTTGTTACCTCTAAGAATTGTGTCTTAAAATGCATTCTTGTGTTGATCATCAGAAATGATCATATTCATAGCAAACAGATTGTAAATACAGTAAAAACATCATTATTTTAAAATTCAAGGGAGAAAAAAGACTTCAAATTATAAGAATTTTTTTTGAATCAAGGCTTTTTGTAATTCTCAAATAAAATTATGACATTATCTTACTTGTAAACAAATGGATGAAATTGTGTGTGTTAATACTAAGAGTTATTACTTAGTAATTTAAGTTATTTTGAAAAACCCATCAGTTGGTATGTACTTAATGAAAACAATGAAAATGTAAAGAAATTACATTTAAAGCAAAATCTGAAAATAATGTATGAAAGAAGCTTAAGTGCTTCAAAAAGAATTACTGTGAATTTTGTCTAGAGGATCAAATGGCTAGTTTTACGAAGAATTCACCATCTTGAGTTTGAGATTACAAAAAATCACATTACTTGATGAAAACAAGCTTTATTAATGGCTAAAGCTATAAGTACACATTCTATTATAAATACGTACATGTATTTAATGAACTTCGGAATTATTGAAACAATAGATTTTTGTAAAAAATGTCCAAAATAATTAATTTCCAAACAGTTTTCTTTCATAAAAATAAAAAAAAAATTTCTCTCTTCATTGGCAACATTTTCAACATCCAAATGACCTTGAATGAATGTCCAATAATCAACAATGTGTAATTGGCAAAACTGAAACCACCACTTAGTTGTGGAAACTTTCATATAAACATGTAATATGATGGAAGATTTCAAATTAAAATATTTTTGCAGGTCACTGGACTAGATAATGACTTCAAATTTCATTGTATGTGTACAGTGGTGATCAATTAACAAACAGTTTGAACTGCAAACAAATTGGGCAATGAACACTTTTGCAAAAGATTTTTATGTTCAGACAACAAACACAAGAAGAAGTAACATTTAAGATTTGTAAAAGTATATTTTACTAACAACTATGAATGGTTTATGGAAGGAGACTTTCACAGTTGTATACATAATGTTTTTGCACTAGTTAATTTCTGTTCTTTGAATTTTTGTAAGTACTTTTCTGAACATTTTATTTAATAAAAACTGAAATTATGGGGGTCTAAAAACAATGGAGTGTCAAGAACTGTGTTCATTATAGAAGTTATGCAAGAGATAATAGAGAGGTTGAGGCGCACGTTTTAAACGTGTAAACGTGTACGTGTGACGTTCGGCGCCGCTTTCCCATAAGCCTAAAAGTTTGACGATGGTGTTTGGAATGTCGAGCGTGATTCCACCGACTATCCAAACACCATTGTCAAACTTTTAGGCTTACGGGAAAGCGGCGCCGAACGTCACACGTACACGTTTACACGTTTAAAACGTGCGCCTCAACCTCTCTAATAGCCAAGGTAGAGAGTAGGCACAATATATCTGATGTTGCTAGGCAGTAAGACTTCAACAGGTCTACAGCAAATACAATCTTACAAGGAGACCCTACGGCTTTGGGGAAACGGATTTTGATGGTCTTTGGTGTAGAGATAATACACCATGTGAGTGTACTACCTGTAAAATACTAAAGTGCAATACTCAAATATAATCGAGAAAAACAAACTTAAAGTTTTTTTAGCACTTTATATATAAATTATACGTACTTCTGTTTGAGTGTCCTGTGGCTGAGTGGTAACGATCCTGACTCTTATGCTTGAGTTCCTGGGTTCGATTCTCGTGTATACTTTTTTTTTTTAATTCATGAATACTTAAATGAATGAGTAAATTAATAAATACATTATAAGTATTTATAAATTAAAAAAAAATTATACGCGAGAATCGAACCCGAGAGCTCAACCTTATAAATCAGACTCGTTACCACTCAGCCACAGGACGTTTGAATAGAAGCACGCATAATTTATATATAAAGTGCTCAAAAAACTTTAAGTTCGTTTTTCTCGATTATTTTTGAGTATTGCACTTTAGTATTTTACAGGTAGTACACTCACATCGTGTACTACCTCTACACCAAAGATCATCAAAATCCGTTACCCCAAAGCCGTAGGCTCTCCTTGTGAGATGATAATAGAGGAGAACACTCTCTCTACGCTCAGCGTGCTTCCCAAGTGCCTGAGACTCGTTACCACTCAGCCACAGGACACTCAAACAGAAGTACGTATAATTTATATATAAAGTGCTAAAAAAACTTTAAGTTTGTTTTTCTCGATTATATTTGAGTATTGCACTTTAGTATTTTACAGATAGTACACTCACGTGGTGTATTATCTCTACACCAAAGATCATCAAAATCCGTTTCCCCAAAGCCGTAGAGTCTCCTTGCTAGTTAAGAGAGGTATAATCAAAAAGAAGTAGATAAAGGCATAATGAAAACTGCATCTGAAAAAAAAGATGTGCCATCCATGAAAATAGAGATTTTTTTAGTTTGTTATTATATGTAAATAAACATAGTAAGAAAATATACAGTAATACCCCGAACTTACGCGATAGGTGGGACCGAGCGATAACCGCGTAAGTCAGGGTATAATTTCTCAATTCGTGTAAAATCCAAGTCAGATGTATGTAAGCTAATAAATGTTCTCGCTTATCTTATCTCGTCTTTTGATTCGTTCATTGTTACAAAAAATCACCACAGAGAGTCTTTCAAGTCTCCGTAGATATAACAAACACAGAAATAAATAACACAGAATAAATTGTAGCTATGCGTCGATTCCGCGCGACACGTCCGAACATGTAAGTTGAACAATAGTGTGGGGGGAATGAGTAATCAAGAGTTGTGTGGCGCTCAAACAAAAGACGAATCGACGAGATTTGAAAATCGCGTAACTCTGGGTTCGCGAGGTATTACTGTATTATTTATTTATTTATTTTTTGGGTCTCCATAACAAATTAATCAAATTTCCATATAAATCTATGGTAAATCGCTAATCGGTTAACGAACAAGTCAGGTAGTGAACATGGTCTTGGAACAGAACCGTTTGTTAATCTATCACTCACTGTATTTTGAATTATCCAAACTAAAATATATGCAAAATCCTATTCTCTTGGCTGGAAACTAGACTTGACTTTGAATTATGCAATACTTTGAATTATCTGATATTGAAATAATGAGGTTTTACTGTAGTAAGTGATGAACATCTGAAGGAAGACCAAAAAATGAGCTATGGCACTAGAGAATAAATATTTTCACAAGTTTTAATGATACAGTTCCATTTATTTGCATTGTTTTTCTGTGAATAAATAAATGTTTAATTGTTGGCAATACTTAGTGCAGAAAAATGTTTCAACAGAGTCTAAACATTGAATAATAATATGTTTCATGCTATTTTTATCTATTGTGCATACTCAACACAGCTTGATCAGATGTACTTTTTCAGTGAGTGATACAGCCTCTAAATAACAAAATTCATGTTCAGTTCTAATTCTCTTCACAGTATTTTAGCATTTTATCTCCAATCAAACATTCAATAATTTTTTCCTCTGAATTTCAGACTTTTATGGCGTAAACCAGTTATTTGATGGAAAAGGATATATACACTGTGTACAGTTATGATATAAAATTCAATTTTTTTGACCATATAATGATTTTCTTAACATTGCATAATAATAGCATTGAATTTGTAAAATGGTGTACACCACATTTAATGATATCAGAAAACAGAAATCAATTTTCTGGGTACAAGATGAGCAGATAAAATACTGCTTGTGGTTCTGTTTGGATTTTGTCA